TTTATATATATGAGACCTTAGAATTCCTGTAACAGTGTAAATAACAAGTGAGTTGACAAAAATGTTTGAAAGCTTCCAGAGCAAAAAGTGTTTTTCTACTCCAGAATCTCTCATTTTGCTAATCTCTCATTTCAAACAAACACTTATAAATACGATTCCAAAACCAGCCTTGTTAAACCAAACAAAATGCTACAAAATAGCATGCAGGCTTTCCATTCTCCATACACCTTCAGGCTGGGTGGATAGTAAACAAAACAGAGCAGGGGAAAAAACATTGGCTGTTACTGCAGCCATGAATGAGGCCTGCAGCCTTAAGATGAAATGAGGGAAAGAGACAGCAGACATTTAAATGAGGCACTATTAATAAGGCAGTCTTGTCGGTTTCATGTTGCACCAGGGGATGCTGCGAAAAATAAACAGGCTATGGTTGAATACCCGGTAATTCTTTTTTTTAACCCACCACGCCATCTAAAACGAATCTCCATCTTTGCTGATATACAAACTCTGTTTTTCTGCATTCATATATACTTAGAAGAATCAACTTTGTACTATCAACCTAATCCTTCCTTCCTTTGCTGTTACTTGGAAAAAAACAAGAGCCAAATTATCAGCACAGAATAATAGAAGCAGCTTTAACCAGGCAGTTTTGCGGGGCGGGGGGCGGGGTTTCCCCTAGGATGTCATGTGTATTTCATACCAATTACATCACCCCTTTCTCTATATCACCTGAGGCTGAGTCATTTAGTGTTCTTGCATATAATCCTCAAGAGCAAGCCTAGGCAGCAGCTGCTTAATTTTCTTCTAACAGCCTTTAATTTATAGCAGACAACCCCCTTATCAATATACTTTCAAAGTGCTCAACATATATAATTTAGGGTTGCAACATGTTTCTGATTGTCAAATATTTAAAATGCATCAGTCTCTTATTACTTCATGTAACAGGGAAAAAATATATTCTGTTAAAGGATGCAGTCATATTTAGCACTTGGCAAAATTACAGCTGTATATATCAAGGACTTCAGCTTGTAAAATCTGTTCCCCAAATTAAAGGTTCAGAGAAACAGACAATTCTAGTGTCAAAGACATTCCATGCAAACAGCAACAAGGAGGGGAAGGACAAGGGAGAGAATGTGAATGAGATAATTACTGGAACCGTTTTAAGGAAATACTGTAATGTAAAATCAGAGAGATTAAGATATTTTATAGTAGCAAAAAACAAAAAAACAAAAACACCACTATGAAAAGCCAATGAAGTCATCTAAACAAGGAATAACACTTGAATTCTGTTTTTCCTCTGTGGACCTCCAAGTACACACAGGCTTACCTTATTTTTTCCTTATAATCACCATGTGAAAGAGTGGCTGCAGAATCATCACTCAGCAAATTTTGTAGCAAGAGTGAGGTGGGGGGATGTGAACCAAAGTCTCCTTAGTTGAAGTCCAGCGTTCTGTCTACCAACCCAAAGCAGCATAATCCTGAAAGCATCATGTCAAAGAGAAATGAGGCAAGAAATGCAATTGGGGTGTAAATGCTTTTGATGTCTTGGGGGGGGGGGGGGACATACTGAAGGGGCTTCTGGAGCACCTTGGGGAGCTCCAAGAAAAGAAAGAGGATTAGGGTGCAATCCATTATAACAAAACAATGTGATCTTGGAGTCTTACCTATGACATTCTCCTTTCAAATCAGAAAGTCTCAAAAGGAAGTTATTTTTTTCAAAATCAGTAGGCAAAAGCAACAACAAAAAACCCTGCAGGTACAGGAAAAAAGAATATATATTTATGCCATATCTGAAATGAAAATAAGATGAGAGGTGATATGGATACACAAATCGTTGCCTCAAACGTCACTGAGGGCTTCCTCACCTTTACAGTATTACATACTTCATTATCACAATTTTATCAGGATAATTTTAAAAAAGGCATGTACTAGAGGCAATAGATTGTACCCAATGACATCCTTCTGCTCAAATAATGGAATTTGCCCTTCGCTCTCCCTGATTACTTCCAAAATTTACTCTGGCTTGGGGATCTTCTTGAGCAGATTTGGAGGTATGCAGGGAAATGAGAGGATATTCTCACAGGGGCACTGGATACAACCCACTCTTTCATATACCTTAAACCAGTGAGAATAATATTTATAAATCTAAGTACAAGAGGGCCTTGAGTTCGTAACTCACTGACAGGCAGCAAAGAGATGCAAATAAAACAAAAAAAGCACACTTTTTAATCTACTGGATTATAGTAATTGCTACCAAGTTGTTGACTTAATTAAACACTCCTGAAAAGGCCTTAAGGGTAAATACTCTCTCACACATATGACACTTTAAATTTGTTTTAAAATCCACTTAATTATTTGCTGTGAGAAATAACTGAGAAAAAGCAACTTGTCCTAAAATGAAAAGCCTTTCCCTAAAATACACTATCCACCCTGTGTTCTTCGGATGAAGGGTAGTATACAAATTAAATAAATAAAACTATAAATATGCTATAGTATAAAAATGAATCCCCCATCACAGGAGGACATTAGTATTATTAACTACTGCCTTGTGTTGTGAACCTGGTCTGAATATACAATGAAATGAATAGGTCTCAATGGAGGATAAAGACTGTGTATTTCCAGCTTCTAGGATTGCAGTCCAAAGTGTTGTATTGTATTATATTATTATACAGTACTCCTCTCAGGGCTGGAAAAAAATTCATGTCATTTTTGCTTATATGCACTAGAAATCTAATGCTAGCACTTTCAAATATGAAACATTTTCCTCTGCATAACTTCAACCTAGAATTTCAAACATTCCCCCCCCCCCCCAGTGCTGGTGCTGAAAGAAAATGTTACATCTTATTATACCAACCGACAAGAACTTTGATATTTAACTGTTCAGAATTGCAAAGTTATACAAAATCATTCAATATTAAATAGGTCTTTTTATTATTATAGGCAGAACTACTGGCTCAGTCTACAGTATGTTGCATTCAAGTTATTTTAATTTCAGCAACTCCAGTGGTGATTAAAACCAAATAGTAATTATTCTTGTGGTTGCATTCCATTGCAACATTATTTCAAGCCTTTTAAAAACCCAAACCCAACAGAGTGGGATTAATGATACCAACAGTGCAGCCCAAATCTTATCTATTTGTGAGTAGCACCAGGGAGCTTTAACAAGTGTCAGTGATGAGCAACACAGAATTGTTATTTGCTCCATTGGTATTGTTTTGCAGGCAATAGTAAGTCATTGTTTCACGCTTTAATGAGTTTACATTATAGTGTCATAAAAGTGCATAGGTCTATGTCCATAAAAACCGTATCACTTTCTATAGTTGACAATACAGTTTGTAGGGTTGTGCTACAGAAGTCAGAATTTACAAGTTTCAGTTACTAGAGCATTATTATGTCATTTTAAAAATATGATCCAGAACTGAAAATTCTGAGTGTATGGTTTCAAATGTGCTTGATGTGGCGAGAGGCCAAAGCTCTGAAAGAGCATACGCCTTGTATGTAAGGTCCCAGTTTCTACCATTGACATTCTCATTGAAAAGCCTATCAGATAGAAGGCTTGGGAAATACCCCTACTAGAGGGCAGATGTTAATCGGGGGGAAACCACTGCCAGGGTTCATTAACCGGTGCCATTACTTGTGAATATTTGAAGTTACCTTATAATGACACTGCGTCAGGGTAATTACAAGTATGGTCAGGGACATTTTATGACGTTTACATCCTACTCTTCTTCCATGGAATTCTAAGTAGTACTGTATATATAATCTAAGCTCTGAGCAGATCCAGACTTGCTTATCTTCAGCACATTTCCTGCATCATGTGCCCTCATTCCTTGCCCTGGGAATGTGGCCTTGCCAAATCATTTTATGGGCGAGGCCAGGTTTGAGCCTGGGAATTCCAAGTTCACTGCAGCACACTAGCTCTTGGTTTCACATTACCGTATTTCCCGCAGTAGCTTTAAATCCAAGAAGTATAGCTTGGTTGGCTCAGAGTTAAAACTTGAGCCAAAAAACCTCTATGAAACAGATAAAATTACAGCAGGCCTACAACTTATGCAGGGGTTACATATGCAGAGTCAATAGTGGGTGAGATTGACAAAGTAATTTTCCCAGAGCCCCGCCCCCTTTTAATTTTTTTTAAGTTTTGTCACATGCTTAAACCTGAATGCACACAAGTTAAATGTACACAAGTTGTGGGCTTACTGTCTGCCAGAGTAAGTGGCTGGGAATTGCCACCTCAAGTTAGAAGCTGAATGTTAATCTCTAGTTTGTTATAAAAACCAATACTGCTAATAATCTATTTTGAGTATTTTATTAAATAGAAGAAGCACAAGTTTGTGAATTATACTCAAGTTAAGTGCAAGATAGTGAATATTTGCTGTAATAAACGTCTGTGTCTTACGCAGCACAATGTCTCTCAGCCAGTGAATGTATTAGCCACCTTGTCCTTCCAGAACTACGACTACATTCCATTTAACTGTATCCGCATAAGCAATTGCAGCCATAAAATTTCAGATACAGTAGACAAAGTGTTTTGCATGTTGATTTGGAAAATTCAAAATGGGACTTTCTACCTAGTAAGCATCTTCAGGATTGCAGCCTCAGGCAGAAAGCTTAGGAATCCCTTACTTAGGAAGGACTTACTCCTGAGTAATTATATAGAGGATCAATCGGTAAGAGTCCATTCTATGGCTTTTTATAGCAATTTAAGGGACACTAAGAAAATCTGTTCAACAAAGCCACATAAGCATGTATTGGAAAGGCGATTTGTGTCAAGAGTTTGTTGCAAGAGGAGAAGAAAGTATTTATTACGTGGCACAATTGATTTTGCACAGTTTCGAACAAAAGCTTGGTTAAGAGAAAGCTATGCAATTGTCCTGAGATCAACAGAGAAAAAGGCCAGAGCGGGTTTTGACGGGGAAGCCACCAGCGCCGAGGAGAGAGCTGCTGTCCGGAAACCAGCTTACTTCGTTTCAGCGCCGGGCACCAAGCGAGCCCGGCGAGGCCTATTTGCAGAGCCCCTCGAGTTTCTCCAGCGCCCCCTTCATGTCCCGGATGCGCCGAGCCAAGGCGGGCACCGGCTGCATCGCCTTGTCCAGCTCCTCGCAGCGCGCCATCAGGGTGTACATGGAGCGGATGCTGGTGTCCACCGCCTCGCCCAGGCTCTCCACGCCGTCGCGGTACGTCTGGATGCAGCCCACGCTCAGCGCCGTCAGGGCCTGCAGGGCGCCGTGCACGCTGCGCAGCAGCTCGTCCACCTGCGCCGCCGCCTGCACGGCCAGAGCCGCCAGGTCCTGCAGCGCCGCGGGGTCCACGGCGGGGATGAGGCAGCCGGAGCCCGGCGCGGCGCTGCGCCGCATCTGCTGCTCGAAGTCGCGGGCCACGAAGTGCGTGAGGCGCCCGTCCCAGCGCACGGGGCCCTCGCGCTCCAGGCCGCTCGGTGGCTCCTCCGACAGGCTACCCGCGCCGCCGCCCCGCGGGGAAACTCCCGCCGCCGCCTCAGCCATTGCCCGGCGCGCTACTCGGAACTGCCGGAGGGATCAACCGCCCCCTCTCTCAGAAAGGAGGCGGGCCTTGGCCTCCATCCGCGCTTCGGATTAGCCGGCGCGCAGGCGGGGGAGGCGTGGCTCCCGCGATTTGTCGCGTTTGATTGGCGGCTGCCGCCTCACAGCGCAACCCTGCGCTTGTTTACTCAGAAGTGAATCCCACTGACTTCAATGGGGCTTACTCTCCAATGAAGGGTGGGTGGTCTGCACTCCTAAGAGGGCTGGCGGTGGGGAGGTGAAGCACCCTCTCCTCATTTCGCTCATCGCTAAGCGAGAAGCTGAGGAAGCAACGGCTCGTTCTAGAAAGGGGGCGTGACCTCCTGCACAGTATTTGTGTCCGTCTTCATTGGGGAAAGTAGGGAGGCCCTCACAGGACATGCTCGGGACTGATTGGGCGTCGGCGACGGAAAGGCGGGCTCCCATACAAGCTTTCCGTTCTGATAGGCAGGCAGCGGGAAGGGGGCGCGGCCTTCTCGAGTAACAACAGTGGGGCGTTGTGGCGACTTCTCTTCACTCCCCCGCCATGTTCTCCTAGCAGCGGAGCTGATCGCCTAACCAGCGCAGCTACTTAAAATCCCGAGCGGACGCTCCGCACTCGCACCCCTTGCGCCCCAGCTCTTTTTCCCCCTTGCCCACCAACTCAACTTTTTTTTTTTTTTTTTTTAAACCACCACCGCGCTCCTGCGCAAAATCCTACTCCTTTCCGACCATGGTGACTACTACGGCGCCTCCACCGTTTCTAGCCCGGATCTCGGCCGGTACCGAGGACCCCCGGCGGTTCCCTGCATCCCTGTTCCAGCGCCTCATACGGGCCGACTGCAGCGGGGAAAGCCACCAGCCCAACTGCTGCCCGGTGGGACCAGGAGGCAGCGCCCGGCCGGCGCTGAAGAGAGTGCGGCGGCGAAGAGCCAAGATACGGTCCGCTCCCTCCGGCCTCCTGCAGAGCCGCTACCAGCACTACCAGCAACATCGTGCCGGCTTGACGCGAAGGAACACCGCGCAGGGGACGTGTAACCCCTACGAAGTCCCCGTCCCCTCCTCAGAGCCAGGGCTAGAAACGGTTCCGAGCGCAGACCCGCCGGCACCTTCGCCGAGAACAGCCCCCGTCAGTATCAGTAAACCCCTCAGGAAAGAGGTAAATAATATTAAGCGCGGTTGGTGGGGGGCGGGGCGATGGGGGCTACTGCTAGTAGGCGAAAAAAGAAGCCAGCCGCTTCTCTCAGCTCGAGAGGGACGCGCCTGCGCAGTTTCCGTTTGACTGTTGCGGGGGGGGGAGTGTGAGGAAGTTTCCGTTACGTCTGTTGTCTTTAGTGGGAGAGGGCGAAGTGAGATTCCTCCGAGGCTGATAGGTTGAAGGAATCCACCAATCGGATTGGCGGCTGCGCCCCAGCAACAGCCCGATTTAGCCCGTTGTCCGTGGCTATTGACGGGGGGGGGGGGAGAGAGAGAGAGAGACGTGACGCCGTCGCCGTGCCCAATGGGCGAAGGGGCTGGGGCGGGGCGGGGTTTGCATCGTGGAAGAGGATGCGGGCTCTCTTAAGACTCGCCTTCTCAGTGAACTGGGTTGGGGGAGGCGGGGGAGGAGCAGGAGCCGCATTCGCCTGGAAGGCCTACGCTGTGTGCGCAGGCGTACTGGGCGAGGAGCCAGTGTTGACGTCAAGTTGACTGGTAGTTCTTCCTGCATAATCAAGATTGAGAGGGTTTTAAAAAAAAAATCCTTCCGTCTTCTTTAGAGTTATAGAAGTTACCCAATCGGGATAGTTTTTCATTTTGTGGGAGAACTTTGAATAGTTATGGGATCAAAGAGTCGCTTTTTCTGGAGCAAACTCCCCCAAATCCCTTTAAATTTAAGCAGCATTGCTCCATATTAACGGAGCTCAAAACTTAAAAAAATAATAATTCTGCTGATTGTATGTTTACTGTATTTTGTCTGTTGTTTACTGAAATTTGAATTATACAGCCCCATAGAAAATAGTACAATCCTGTGCATGCTTAACTCCTGGTGCCTTCAACTAGAATCACTCCCTAGTTACCGTATTTTTTGCTCTATAAGACTCACTTTTTCCCCTCCTAAAAAGTAAGGGGAAATGTGTGTGCGTCTTATGGAGTGAATGCAGGCTGCGCAGCTATCCCAGAAGCCAGAACAGAAAGAGGGATTGCTGCTTTCACTGCGCAGCGATCCCTCTTGCTGTTCTGGCTTCTGAGATTCAGAATTTTTCTTTTCTTGTTTTCCTCCTCCAAAAACTAGGTGCGTCTTGTGGTCTGGTGCGTCTTATAGAGCGAAAAATACGGTAGTTTGCCTCCAGATTATCCGTAGTTTGTGGAAGGGATTCGAGCACATACCAGAAATTTAGGTTTGCACAATTAAACCTGTTAATTAGATCTGTCACATTGGTGCAACAAATTCACAAGCTGATTTTTGTGTTTGGGATCTAGCAGTAGGGAAATGCACTGAAAAGTGTACATGATGTACAACCACTGCACAAGCAAGTCAATATGATTTCAGAACAGTGTTCATCGTAATCTCTCAGCCGACAGATTAGAATGAATGCGAAGTAAACGGGGCATCTGGAAGAATTACATGTTCGTTGCATCTGCATGTTTCTATCTCAGGTATTTCGATATTACAGAATCATTTAACACAATAAAGAGTGAATGTGAAGGACAACTAACTTTGAAACAATAACTGTGAATGTAGTTAAATATATTTATGAAATTCTCTTTTATCTTTGCAGTTGTTCAGAAACAGAATGGGAAAGTCCGAGAAGGTTACCATTCCTTACAGTCAACCTATTCACAGTATACACCTTTGTGACCAATCAAAGATTAACAGACCAAGGAACAAATGTAATATACCACTAAACAAGATTCCACCTTCAAAAAAAAGTGAAAATAACTTTTGGCAACAATCCGTGTCACCTGAACTCATTAAAAAGCAGGAGAAAAAGCCTCTGAAAAATGCAGAAAATGTGAAATCAAAGAAACCTGTTTTTCTGACTGAAGCTAACCAAAAAGAAAACTATGCTGGGGCAAAGTTTAGTGACCCTCCTTCACCCAGTGTCCTTCCAAAGCCGCCCAGTCATTGGGTAGGAAGCCCTGTTGAATATTCTGACCAAAACAGGAAGATGATGGCAGTCCATCTAAAAACTCTCTTAAAAGTTCAAGCGTAGCTTATGGATATTTACAGAGAGCATACCAGGAATTTGAAACCTGCCTTGTTGCAACATGAAGTGCGAAAGACTGCCAAGTCTTAAATTCTGCAAACTTTTACTCTATTTTTTATGGTTGTGTAAATAGTGTATATCATGTAATGTGTATATTCATATTTTGAAGTACATTTTAGTTTTGTTATGAAAGGATGAATTTTACACTGCCCACGTGGTAAGTGGTTTTTGTATATAATAACGGACACCTTCTAATGTGTGCTTGACACATGGAAAGAACGTTTGCACAAGGTGCTGAGATTCTGAAAGAAGAAGAACTCATCTCAGTGTTCAGATGGAAATGTGAAAACATTGCTAATGCACTACTGAAAAGTTTTACAATTTGGCACAATGCTTCATTGGATAAGAAGCGCTCATAAAATCATGAGCTTGAAACAGTATATGGAGTTCAATTTCTCATTGGAAATATAAATTTTTGATTAGATTAATTAGCCCAGAAACTTAGCTCTGTTGATTCTCTTAATAGAGAATAGCAGAGCAAACTGCCAGAAATAATTGGCTATTTTTAAAAAAGAACTTAAATAAAACAATTTGGCCTCCCCTTACTTGGTTGTCATTCTTTTGAGTTGCTCTGTCTAAACAGTAATGCTGCAACACGTACTAAATGTTGCTGTGCTTTGTCAGTGGTAGGACATACTTTTTTTTATTCTAGCTGAAGATCTTCCTTACACCCTGGTCTTGCAATTACTTAAGCACCAACACAAAGTTCTCCACAATCCTTCCCAGTGATACTGGCATTTGCCTTGGAAAATATGTGGTAATTATTTTCAGTTATAGGAAACATAGGTAGGCAACTCTAAAATTTCATAACAGTTTTAAGAAGTCTTCTGCAGACTACTATGAAGTATTCATTGCTGAGATTCCATATTGCTAGGTGTATACAAGTACATTAAAAAACTATAAAGAAGCAAAACACAAAATGCTACTCGCAACCCTGAAGCAAACCCTGAAGCAAAATACCCAAGAATGGAGGTAGAACAGTGGCTTTTGTTAAATATGTGCAAAGAATGGGGCATTACTTATTGTGACTCAGGATTAGCCCATTTTGGGGGATATGACATAAGCCCTATTCCAGATGAAATACTATCACCAGAAAGGAAACATTTGAAATTAAGCCATTTTTGGTCCTTGTACAAAAGACAATTTGAATATTTTCAAAAGTTGATTCATTTAATTTATTAAATGCCCCAAATAAAGCTTTTGTGGCATATTTCAATCATAGCAAAGCATACTTCACTTTACCCTGTGGCATTCTGACCTTCAGCAATAATGTATCACAGTTCAAAGTTTCCCTTCACAGTAAGAGCATAGCTATAATAACACTGGAAACAGTGCCACCTTGTATTTATTTAGTTTGTACCTTGGTTCATCTGTAAAATCACTGTCTTCCAGGTCTTCAGGTGAGAACTATGTTCTCACCTGTGGATACAGCAGTCGGGTAAAACTGCAAATTGTGTCTTTTTATTACAGTTGGGTGATAATCCAATTTAGCCATGCTCAGAGTGGACCTATTTAAATCAATTGGGAAGTACATTAATTTCAGTGGGACTAATCTGAGTACGGGACGCGGGTGGCGCTGTGGGTAAAACCTCAGTGCCTAGGACCTGCCAATCGTATGGTCGGCGGTTCGAATCCCCGCGGCGGGGTGAGCTCCCGTCGTTCGGTCCCAGCTCCTGCTCACCTAGCAGTTCAAAAGCACTCTTAAGTGCAAGTAGATAAATAGGGATCGCTTTAAAGCGGGAAGGTAAACGGCGTTTCCGTGTGCTGCGCTGGTGCTGGCTCGCCAGAGCAGCTTCGTCACACTGGCCACGTGACCCGGAAGTGTCTCCGGACAGCGCTGGCCCCTGGCCTCTTAAGTGAGATGGGTGCACAACCGTAGAGTTGGACACGACTGGCCCGTACGGGTAGGGGTACCTTTACCTTTAATCTGAGTATGAGTAACACTGGACAGTGCCCATCAATTATATTTACTTTCTCATAAATATTACAGGTTGCATCCAGCTGTGTCACTCAGGCAATGATAAGGCTTCCATCAGCAGAATGGGAAGAGAAGCAATTTTCAGCGATTCCCACTCACTGCCAAAGCTCACTTTCTACCTTAAATCTCTGGAAGTCTCCCAGCCCTCTGGGATATAAGATGGTTGCAGAAGGGGAATACACCAAAAATTGCTTTCCTCGTTCTGCTGATGGAATCCTTTATCAGCTGAGATAAAGCTGAGATCATGTCACCATATGATACAGCCCTGTACATTTGTATTGGAGACCAAGATAGTCTTTACATTTCCTTGATACTGTGTTATATTAGTTAATTATAGTTCCAAGGAATGCCTAAGCTAAGGAAACAAGTGAAATCACAGTAAAACGCCTGTTCAGAGAAAAACAGCTCACACATCTTCCAGTATCTTAAGTTGTCCAAAGTAGTATCCAGTACTGAAATGGAACCCATGATAGACTGCAACATTAATACCATGCTACACAACCAGCTGTCTGCTCAAGATAAAACTTGAAGGTTGCCAAAATCTGCTGTTTTGGGGAATGTTGATGTACACACCAAGAGGCTGGTTCTTTAGGCCTGTCTCTTCTATGACATCTAAGGGTTTATGAAAAACATAACGAAGGCATGTAGCACATACTCTAAACAATGTTTTTCATCAAGTTCAGATACAGTTCTAATTGGGAATGTTGTAGGGACAGTGCTTTTTATGGTCAGATGGTTGTCTTCTCAAAGTACAAATCCCCAATCTTTTAGGCTGGATTATCTTCAGAGTCTCCAACCAGATTCCAGAGCTCTCTAATGGTGCGGTTTTCCCCACTGATCTTCGTACAAAAGAAGAAATTACAGTTTACCACAGCCCCTTCTACTAAACATTGGGTGCTTCCATGTTATAGTCCTTTAGCACTACTGAGGCACTGCTTTTCCACAATGGTATTCCCACAAGGCACTTAAATATATAGCTTCATTCCCCACATTAAAAACCTAACAATGCCCATCCCTTAGGCGAGACCGCATGTTTCTTTACAAAATATGTTTTACTTCAGTCTTCAATTGTTCCTTATTTAGTAGCTTTCTTTTTGCCCAACCCCCACCCCACCCCGTGCTTAAAAAAAACAACACTAGTTCTTGTCAATCTACACCGGGCTAGTACTGTGGATATATAAGAAAAACACGCACACAAACACGCATTGCCAGAAACTGGGTCTAAAAAAAGAGCACTGGAATGCTGCTGGCTGACAACTTTTGAATTCTTTGTAAAAACAACAAAAGATGTTGAATCCAGACATTCCGGTGTCGATGGCAGCAGCTTGCAGCAGTGTGGAGACAAATCATTTTATAGAGCTGAATTTGCATGGGAAGAAAGATCTCCAAGAGGAGCTGCTGCCATTTCAGGAGCAGGTTATTGCCTCCTAGGCTTCTTGTCTACTGTATCCCATCTCCACATTATTCTTTTTCCAGTTGGCATACAGCAAATATTCCATTGCATTTCTAACTGTATGCCCTTCTCTGCTTGTTTGCCGTTCCTAGTGTGTCTTCAAAACAAAAAGGAATGTAAATAAGAGGGAGACATGTTCATAGTAAGTCTCCTGCTGAGATGTACACAAAGTTTGGAGCACCCTCTAGTGGATTTTTGTTGCCTTTGCCAGCTATACTGTACTACAATAAGCTTCAGATCAAAAGACATTGTTTTGGCAGACAACTCTTAGCTTTAATAAACAGGGATCAGCAACAATCTCTTTTAAATTCAGCTTTATTCAAAACAATTATGCAGGCAAAATTCCAAGTCTCAGAACAATCTTTAAACAAGAACAACTGCAAATGATAAGATTAGCATTCTGTTCTATGTCCCAGTTAAACTGCATACCGTAACAATCAATTTCAATCCATGCTTCTGCAAAGTGATTTGACTTGCATGAATTAGTCGCATAGGGCATGACAAGTTAAAAGAGCAGACACTGAACCATATGCTCCAGTACATAATTTTTAGGTTGTAATTTTTTTAAGGTTAAAAATTGTCTCTTCTTTGTCTTAACAGGTTATATACCATGTTTACCCAAAAGTGTGTTTTGGTCACCGAAGAAAAGGTCAGATAAAAGTTTGCTGCATATTATGCATGTTTTTACAGGGGTAAATTCTATTTTGTTCAGTGTATCTTAATCCCCCCAAAAAAGGTAAAGGATCCTTGACAGTTAAGGCTAGTCGCGAACGACTCTGGGGTTGCGGCGCTCATCTCACTTTACTGGCTGAGGGAGCCGGCATTTGTCCACAGACAGTTTTTCTGGGTCATGTGGCCAGCATGACTAAGCCGCTTCATGTAGCCAGCATGACTAACACCGTTTACCTTCCCACTGGAGCGGTACCTATCTATCTACTTGCACTTTGACGTGCTTTCAAACTGCTAGTTTGGCAGGAGCTGGGACAGAACAATGGGAGCTCACCCCGTCGCAGGGATTCGAACTGCCGACCTTCTGATCAGCAGGCCCTAGGCTCTGTGGTTTAGACCACAGCGCCACCCGCGTCCCTTAACACAAACATATACCAGAACCATTGTAATTAGGATTTTAGGACTGGCATAGAAAACTAGATCCAGAGGCGTCCTGACTTCTGCAAGCAGGATTTCTTTCTGACTTAGCTCAAGATCCTTATGCAAGAGATCTGAAATCTAGAGATAGCTATTCTTTCATTTACACACAGTCTTGCACAATCTCCTGTAGAAAGTCAGTCTTCCACTAGCTCATTTACCACTGTTAATGGAATGGCATCAGTGCAATAATTTCTTCCACAAGTGTGTCTCTGGATCCAACCCATAGAGAAGTAAACGATAGACCAGAGTGCCCCTGGATCTGATGCCAGCATCCCTTTAGAGGGGGTGTGTGTGGGTGTGTAGACTGGGCCAGTGTATGGCTCAGCGGCATTCTCAGGAAATTAAAGTGGAAGGTGCTTTGCCTGGCACTTTTCTTATCATTGTTGGACTGCTCAATGCAAAGCTACATTCGCTCTCAACAGATTTTATAAGCAGCTTTGACATATATCTAAACTGAAAAACCATGATGGTAAATTATTTTTGTTTGAAAAAAGCATAACATATATCCCATATTTTTTATTTAAAAAATGTATTGCTCTTATTCAAAGTCCCGAGATTAATGTAAATAAAAATGCCGGACAGAAAGTTCACTTGCGAGCTGTTGGTGAATACCGGACTATCTTCCTGGTATCTTCTATGCAGCATTGGTAAATGGGGAAGAAAAAACACCTGAAGGTGGCCAGCATAAGAGAAAAAACTGTGAAAAAGAATGGTACTTACATTTCAAACTGGATACAAAAACAAGAGAGAAAGGTATGCTAGCACTGAAAGCTATGAAATTAAGTAGCATGTAAGAGCCAATGGGGGAAACATCTTACGAAGAACATTCAGAACTATCAAAAATTTCCATTTTCTGCCACACAACATAATATCTGAGAGGTGTTGGGATTACTAGCCATCCATCTTATTAAGAACATTCAGAACATTTCCACTCCCTTCTGTACAACATAAGTCATTTGAGAGAGTTTATAAGCCGTCCATAGGCTCGTAAAACTAGCTGAGATGTATGGTATTTCAGTTGGCAGCCCTTGTGGTAAGTAATGGGAAGGGATGGCAGAGGGCACTTATAGGAACACCTCCCATCAAGAAATGAGATTCAGCACGAGACTTCTACAAGGGACCACACTTTTCCAAAAGCAACACACAGCTCTCCCTTGAAATTCACAAAAAGGGTATGAAAGCGACAGTTATCTTCTCAGAGGAATACGTGCAAGATTCCGTTCAGCTGCCATAGGTATCAATAGCACAATCCTCCATGAATTTCTCTCTTTAAAGCTTTCTGAGCTAGTAGCCATCAGTAGTGGCATAGTGTTCATGGCTCAGTGGTAGAAAAGGTATTTTGCATGCAAAAGCTTCCAGGTTCCATCTCTAGTCTGAAGAATCTTGGGGAACAGACCTAGGAAGACTTCCTCCAGGACCTCGGAAACTTGGTGACATACAGACTGAACTAGATTGTCCAATGGGCTCCCTAGCTTAAGGAAGCTTGACTTGTTCATTTGTAATACATCTTCTGTTATCTAATTCAGTAAGTTATAGACATTTACATGTCTTGCTCTATTTCTTTTCCAGGTTTAGGATGACTCTTTTGAGTGAGGTAGGAAAGCCAGAACTGCACAATATTCCAAATGTCAGCATGTAATGGATGTATATAGTTGTACCTTGGATCCCTAATCCCTTGGTACTTGTCTGTTTTGGCTCCCAAATACTGCAAACCCGGGAGTGTTCCAGTGTGCGAACACTCTTTGGAACCCGAACAACTGACTGGGCTTCTGCAGCTTCTGATTGGCTGCAGGAGCTTCCTGCAGCCAATTGGAAGCTGTACCTCGGTTTCCGAACGTTTTGGAAATTGAATGGACTTCTGGAACAGATTCCGTTCTACTTCCGAGGTACCACTGTAAGGGTATTAAGATGATTATATACATCCTGGGGAGGTCATTTCGGTGAACAGGTATTTGCTGTTCAATCTCTTTCAAAAAGTTCTTAACGCTGAACTTACCATTTTGCTACTGTATACTTAAGTGAGCTTAACCTTCTACCAAGACTATAAGAACTAGTTTTTGCTAATTAATAACTTATCTACAAACTTTACAGAACAAGCTGTACCTGCAACAGAAGGTTGCTGGGTAGAGTGCTCCTGTTCAGGTTCTTGCCAGTTAGCAATGTACTCTTCCTTCCATCCCTTCTCTCCTAGTTTTCCATTCTTCCCCTTGTTGAATATTCTGTGGGAGAATAATTTGTTCCAGAAACAGAAAAATTTCAAGCAGCAGAAGGCTGAGATTGTTTTGTCTATGTAAGGACACGCACCGTGTAACAGGAAGAACTGATAACAATGGTTCTGTGAAACTTCTTGTAACTTGTTCAGTCTCTTGCTTGCGCCTTGTGGTGAGATCAGTGAGTGAGTCTTGAACTCTTGTTGAACTCTAAGCATGCCTTGACCACAGCAGTGGTAAACATCTGTATATATTTGCTACCAGTATGCTTTTATGCCTGTCAAGTAAACCTCTACATTTGACTAAATCTTTATGACATCCATGAGCACTTATTGCCTACCGTGTGTACCTTCAAACCTGAAGATGCTTCCAAGGAAGGAGCTGCGTTGAGATGTAACAGCCAAGTATGGATACACACACAGCAAAAGTGATGCTGGACCCAATCCTTCTAAATCATCCATCAGAGGTTGATGGATTGATCCAACACCTCTCACACATTCTATGGTCACTAACTGTGCTCAGTCCTCACTGTGGTTTTTTGAGGGGTCCTCCCTTAGTCTCCCACCCAAATCTTATTTAATACATCCACAAATCTTAGCATTTCCCAGACTATGTTGCTATTTCCCTCTTGTTTCTTGCAGATTCTTTTTTTTAATGCTCCAAACAATAAAAGATCTACATATGTAGTAAACTGAAAACAGAGACAGCTACAGTTAATCTTTCTTCTGTGTGTTCTGACCACTGCATGCAAGGACGAATGTGTGCATTTTACAAAAAATGGGGGAAAGCAAATACATACATACATACATACATACATATACTCACTCTACAGTCTGAACTGCAGCAGTAGCCCAGCATCTTACTATCTTATTCCCTATGTGCAGATCTACAATAAAACTGGATCTCATGTCTTCTCAGTGGTGTGACATGCCTGGGATCATACAGGAGAAGTCCATGCTGCAACTCTTCCCCACAATAGCCTCAACCCTCAAACATTGTGGCCTCCTGTATGGTTCTGAACTTCTCATCCAACCTGGCACTGTGAGGAGCAGCAGTGTGGAAGCAGGTTCCTGCAATGTGGAACAAAACTAAAAACCCAATCCTAGATAAATTGTGTTGCTTTGGGCAAGTCACTCTTCCCCTATGCGAAACACTCTGCTATGCTGGTGTGCACAGTTGTTATGAAGTGTGTGTGTGTGTGTGTGTGTGTGTGTGTGTGTTTGAAAAAGGGAATGACAAGGAACTTCATGTGTTTTATTGAAAATAATATCTTAAGTTATGAAATAACAATAATGCTATTTCCAACACAAAATTGTATAATTGCTCATGAAGTGAAACGTGGTTTTACTGCCACCACAGTTACTTAATACAATGTTTGTACCATGTAACAGACATCACAGCTAGTACGATACACTTAAACACAAATTATAGGTTCCCAAACGTTACTACACAATGCAAATGTAACATATTATAAAATACAAAATATTTTCAGAATACCTTCTGTTACTTGGGTTAGACAAGCCAATAATTATTTTATACTCAATAGTTCAATAGTTTCAGGGGCTCAGAACTTTAAAATGTTTGAAGAAGGTGTCTTCTACATTAATCTCATAATACAGTAACAGTTCGAAAATAGATAATGTAGCAAGATTCTTACACTACAAATATTACTGTTTTAAGGGTTTCACAAAAATGTTTTGACTACACATGAAAAGCATGTGCTTAACAACTTATATTACAGTATTACAAAATGACTTTATATAACCAATTATCACTTTTTAAATTTCCATTACGTATTATTAGACTGCTTTCTACTAAACATTGGTCACAATCCAGTGACTGACAATGTGATAATCATCCACTTTGCAAATGCTGAGACCACTGTACAGGATCAAAGGCTGTATCTTACACATACAGCAGAATGTTTTCATAGAGTGAACTGTACCAATTCCGGTTTGTAGATAAATCACATTTTGAATGTTCCCTTCTGTTAAACACTCCCTACCAATAGAAGGTAAGTACAACAGAGAGTAGATTGTAGCCAAACTATTTGCCTGATACGACTTTCTATTTTCATTGCCTTTGGGAATTAAAAAAACAGGGAGAGCATTCAAAAGTGGTATTGCCCATATGACGCAGTACAATCTAATCCAGCCCTTTACTTATACCTCATTCTGCTGCATATTCAGACCAGACTGAAATGCATTCCATCCCAACACACTGCCAAATCTGCATGCACAGCCTGTACGTTAGTGAAGGAAAGGAAAGGCTATCTGGGTCCTCCTTCCCCCTCTTGCCTATCATCTATTTGACAAGAAAATTGAGTTCCAAAAGCTTTAATGTGCTTGCAGATCTATAGATTGGGATTTCGATAGAAGTTAATTAAGATCAGTTAGCACTTCTCTTTCAACATGCAGCCCCAAATGGAAATAAATTGCTAGGCTTTTAAATATAAATTATATTTGAAAAAACATAAACTCGGAAGGATGTGAGATTCCAACTACCCTATGTTATACAAAATTTCCCATACTAGCCTGCTAATGTACTTCTCTAAGCTGAAACAATTAGACCACCTGAATTTGAAATGACATTTCAAACTCAACACACACATTATAATGCCTCCCTCAGCACCCCCACCCTCAAAAAAAGACCCTAATTACCCAAAGAACATACAAGAACAGTAGATTCAGGTTTCAACTGGTTATTCTTGGTATGACAATAAAGCAGGCAGAAAAATATTGCCAAAGAAAACAGCAAAATGAAGTAAAACAACCTGTAGCTTCATCTAATTCGTGTCACGTTAAAATGAATAGCAAAAGGCTACTTGTTGAGCAGCGCTGCCCTTTTCCAGGTGTAGATATGCAGTACAAGCCTTGCTTGCACTACAATATCTACAAAAGCATTATACGAGAGCTAAGGAGGGAATGGCTGAATGGCTCTGCCTCTATCCCCACATTAAACAGGAGGAAACCTCTCATACAGCTTCTATCCAGCACAATGTTAAACTGACATTAGGTTCTGCCAACTGAAAGAACCTGGAGCAAAGGGCAATTACAATTCTGATAAGGAAAGCTGATTGGTCTTTCAGCAGCTGAAGTTACATCACTGCCAGGACTAACGACAGCTTGCATGGATGCAGGGAGCTTAACTTGGGCACAGGATCGCCTACTATTGGGTTCCAAGTACAGGGAAATAGAATCTAGACTAGGTAAATGTTTCTTTAAAAGTAAAAAATAAAATCTTAAAAGGAGTTCTGCACACTGAGGCAGGGACTGAAAGGGCACATAGCAAGACCTCTCATTTACCAGTTACCTTACATATCATATAAGCTTTGGACAATTTATGTTCTCCTTAACTTGTGCTCATAAAAAACGGTGTTAAAGAAATAGAGGCATTAATCTTCTTCAGATACTGACTGGTTGCTGTTTCTCTGATAGAAGCTCCTAGAATGTGAGCGAGAACTGGAATTAGTATGTTTCCGAGGGGATTTCGACAGGGATCTGGTAGCTGAGCCGGAACGTTTTGGATGTGATCGTGACTTTGTTCTCGAACCGGAACGTCTTCGATGGGAACTGGATGGTGACTTTTCAACGTATTTGGAACTTCTGTGGGGTGACTTGGATCGTGACCTTCCCCTAGAACTAGAATTTCTCTGCGGGGTGATGGATCGTCTGGGCGAGCTGGAATGCCTTGGAAGAGATTTTGAGCGAGACTTAGATTGGCTGTAAGAATGTCGTCTACGCCTTGACCTGAAAATCATCCAAAGCTCCATTAGAAGCGATATTTGATCTTCCCCTGCTTTTTAAGGAGCATTGTAACCCAAACAGTTTGCTTAATTTGTTTGAGGTACTGTTTGTTTGTTTTTGTAATGGTATTGTATGCCAAAAGTACCCCAAAACCTTAAAAGGAAAATTTAAAGAGTAGTTTTGAGGGTTCCCATGGTTTATGCTTCTATTCTATTCTATTCTATTCTATTCTATTCTTTCAGACTGGAATAACAAGCTATTAAAAATTATCTACGCATTGTTACTATCTCAGACAAAATCTACTTTGTCTCAAAACTTTATTTTTTCAAACCTGGTGCAACAAGAATGAGCTCACTAGGAGTCAGTCAGCAAGATGATTTTAATACTTAGATTTTAATCCAACATTTCAAATGCAGTGCCAGAATTTTGAAGCTATACTACCTCACTGCCTGCCTGCCTGAGAATAGCCAGCCACACAGCACAATTCTATGCATTTCTACTCAGCTGTAAGCCCCACTGCATTCAATGGGATTTATTACCAGATAAACAAGTACAGTATTACCTGTACAGTATTAGTGTTCAAATTATTTACAAAGGAGCCAGGATGACTGAACCTTTGCAGGACCAGCTCAAATTTACCTTATCCTCACTGGTTACCACCACTGTTGTTCACAAACATTCTCCTGGAACATAACATACACAATCATTAGTATGCAATTGAATTTTTGTCTCATGATCCTCAGACTTACTCTTTAAAACTATCAGAATGTCTCCTGCTCCAGCCCCATGAAGAACTTCTGCTACGTGTCCTCCTTCGGCTACGGCTTCTTGACCTTCTATAGTCCATTGGAGAACACTGGCGGCGCTCTTTCGATTTCATCTGACCTGGTGCTAGAATTTAAAGCAGAACTGGAAGATCGCAAGAAAACTGCAGCTTCTTACATACTGAGCACGCATGCAATTTTAAAAACTAGAGTTTATAAGCTTGTGCCTGTTTTATTTTTCAATCTTAAGAGATATGAAAGGCAACTATCTTAAAGAAATGCTTTGCAGAATAAGTAAGTGACAAGGTGGTGTTCACTTACTTTTGCGATCACCTTGTGCAAACTGTATTTCAATTTGCCGGCCACATACCCACTTTCTATTGAGGTTATAAAGAGCATCTTCTGCATCACGAACATCTTCAAACATGACTGTCTGTTAAGGACGCTTTAAACATGCACAAAGCAAAAAATTGTATCATGTAACATAGACCAAATTACTCCAGATACTTTAAAAAGCAAGAGTTATTTAGATATGCCACTTAAGCCGAGAGCTGCTTCATACTTTATATTGCCACTCAAATACAGCAGAACTCCAGCAGTGTGTTTGGTTGTATATACATATATTTATGGAAGGAGGACACACAACCACAAGCACGCTGGGAAACTAGGATTGGCCACAACTCCCCGGCAAGGGTACAATGCATATTTCAAAACAGTGTTGACTCCAGAGAATGGCAAGCTCAGGCATCTGTCAGGACACACTGCCCTAGTCATGTTGTCATCCCCGCTTTGTTTTGCAAGCCCCATCTTTCTCAAGGGAACCCAGTAAGTGTCAAGGCCCACAAAATTCTGCAAGATGTGCATCTTTCTTTCACACTTTGTATGTGTATCACAGCAAGTACCAGTCAGTATACCTGGATTGCCACAAAAAGTATGAGGCAGCTCAATGACATGCAGAAACAAGGTAATAATAAATGCCTTTAAAATATAGGTGCCCTTATTCAGAAACTCCTGTGTACACTGAAATGCACATGAAATTCCCACACACAGTGATTTCCCCTCCAGTTCAATGTCATGTCTGTGGGCACACAGAGTTGTTTCTCTACAGATCTGAATGGCAAAGGAATGGCAGCAAGGGACTCGCTGTGTATTTTGGAGTCCCTACATCTGTAATGCATAACTGAACCAAAGCAAGAATATTTAAGGTGTGCACCTTATTTGAAGGCCCTTAAACTTGACACATTAATAGGAAATATTACCTAGATGTGGAAAATAGTATTATCTAGATGTATACTCCTAACCATATCTACTAAGGAGGAAGTCCTACTGAAGTCAATGTGGCTTACTCTCAGGTAAGCAGCCTCAGTTCATTACTTCTGTTCTGATTTACTGCAGACATTGTTCATATCTATAAACAGCCGACTTGTTTTTCCTCCTCCTTTACTCCCAATATTTAAAACAAATAGCTGTAAATGCCACAAAAATATGTCACCAGATCATCTAAATTACTGATATATTTCAGTATTCCAATGAAATCTGTTCTGTTAGGAAAATGACTCATGGAAAAGCGAACAAATATTTGCATACAGTTCTCTTGTACCAATTTAAGGAAGCAATATGTTAAACTAAAACAGTTATAAACAAACAAATTCTTGACTGCAACGTAAGAGCTTGAGCGATAAGATACAAAAGGAAACTTTGGCAGTTACCTCCACGTCACTTGATCTTGACCTTTACTCTTTAGGGCTTGCTAGATGGACTTGACAAGGGCCGGAGAACCAACCAAATCAGACTTGGCTTTGACTTTGGAACTTGAGCAAATGTCGGAAAGCCGAAGCCTTAACTTGGTGTTGTGGCTTTGTCTTTTCCTTGAAAAAGGACTTCCCCTCTTCCAGTTTTCTTTTTATCTTTTTCCACCCTCCCTCTTTATTCCTTGAAGCTTGAACTTTAAGGTGTCTTTTGGCTTGCCTGCTTGGACTCTATCTAACCAGGTTCATTCAAACTTTGGGGTGCTTGCCAGCCACTGTGGACTGCTTTACATTTTCTGAGACAAAGAAATAAATACATTAAGTTAGGACGCAATAACAACAATGCACCTCAATCAAAAATACAGTGACATAAAGGATATTGTATATAAGCAAATCCTCTTGGGCGTCTTGTGTAGAAGTCAAGCGGAATGTATACGTCTACTACAGGGCCATACCGACCAAATTCACGACGCAAATCCTCAGGCCTGAAGTGTTTTAGAAATAAGGCAAAAAGAATGAGTGTTTCTTTATCATTGTACCTGCTTTAGCAATACCTAGCCGCAGCAGACTTATCTTGTGTATTAAGACTATTAAAGACAAACTTTCAATAATTCTGTAAGTATTGGGAATCATAGCCATAAATTTTGAACATATATAATTATTGAAACTAAAACGAGCTAGGAACTTATTAGTATGTTTAGGGTTCACTTAAATTTATTTTTCCTGGTATTGGATCATTCTCATTGTGATTACTCTATTAGCAATTTGCGGAAATGGGGCAGACACAAAAATAAATGCCAACAATCCTGCAACTGAAAATTCTCCAAAGGCACAATTCTCTTTCTGGAACCCCTGCTTTTTTTGTCAGACTACAATATCGCTCAGGAGATCAAACACCAGTTGAAGCACACTGTACTGTACTGAGATAAACAGGTCAACAACTTGATTGAATATAATGCCACTATTTTTTCAGCATGGGACTGGGGCACCAGAAAATGAGTTTTCAGTTTAAAACAAATATACTAAAGATTCAGACATGGGGGGAAAACCATGAAAGAGCACACAGAATGGAGAAGATGAATTCAGATATATTTTCCCTCACATAAGACAAACATCCTCACATAGGCAGAAGTATCAGGAGAAACAAAAGAAAGAACTTTACACAATGAATAATATTATGCTGAATTCATTGCCACTAGATGTGGTGAGGATTACACAAACCCACAGAGAAAAGCATGCACAAATTTGCTCCTTTCTGTGAAATGAATAACTGGGAAGTAGGGGTGTCACTCCATACATATCAAAAGACTCCACACAAGTCAGTAATTATTGGGCACTTGTTAGAATGGATAACATCAGGTTGTACAATATAATACCTAGCTTTTTAATTATATGCCTTATTCATTGGCAGGTCTTTCAATCATAGGGGGAAAGGATAATTATTTGCAATTCTTTGCATATTGGGTTCTCATGCGGGAAAGAGTCTTCCACGCCCTACAAAGGAACAAAAGAAACCCTACTATGCTTGGAGCACAGGGTAAGGATTTTTTGCTAGGAGACAGATATCATCAATTTTGCATATAAGGAAAACAATTGTAATTTTTTTTGGTTTTTAGATAATGCACTGCTGTGTGATGCTGGTCTGATATTAGAAGAGGCATTCCTAATGTGAAAAAAAGGAATACCTTTTCAATATGCTGCTTGCCATTTCTATTTATAAGTATCTATATTAAAGATAATGTCATATTTTAATATTGCTGCCCAGTTAATTGGGGCAGTTTTATTCAATTAAAGAGTTATGAAAGTGATTCATCTAACTAATTAATGGTTTAAACGCTGCAGTCCTAGCTGTATTCTGCTATCTGAATAAACTTTCCCTACAAAGTGCTCCCTACTGAAGGGAGGAATCTCATAGCTGAATATGGGAAGACTTTTTAGCAAATATTTTTTTAAAAACCCACAAAACTACTGAAGCCTGTCCAAGACAAAACAAAAATGTATAAGGCAAGCAAATGCAATGGAGGAGAGGGCTCCATAACTTTAATAGCTAGCTGCAACTATCAAAATTCATTGCCCTGCTTCATTCACATCTTGTCACCTTATGTGGTGTTCCATTTAATTTCATTACTGGAGTTGCAAAGTGGCAGGGAAGAATTGACTGAAAACATGCTTTTAAGTACTCAGATAAAAATAGCTAGACAGGATACATACATACAGTTCAGTTGGTTAGAGCATGGTGCTGTTAATGCCAAGGTTGCAGGTTTGATCCCTGTATGGCAGTGGTTCCCAATTAGAGGTCTGGAGAACGCACCCAGGGGGTCCGTGGCCCCATCCCTTGCCTTCCCCTCAACTTTTTTTGTTTTATTATTTTTGCACTGTAATAACACAAATTTTATGATCTGTTTGTTTTTTAGTATACCTAAAATCCTTTGCTTATTTGGGGCCACCCCACATTTTGTTCAAAAAATTGTTTCGCAGAGGTAACTACCATAGAGTTATCAAAATTTTCAAAAGTAGGGGGTCTGTGGCTTGGCTTTTGAAAAATGGGGTGTCCTAATTGGGAACCACTGCTGTATGGGACAGCTGTATATTCCTACATTGCAGGGGGTTGGACTAGACACTAGAGGATCCTCAGGCTCCCTTACAACTATCTTTCTATGATCTATGATCATTTTATTTGTATACCACCTTTCCAAAGTTAAAAAAACCATTCTTAAGGCAGCTTCCAACATGAATAAATTTACATAATTACTAATATAACAAAAGATGACAAAGACCTGGATAAATGGGTAACGCTTATGATGCAAAAGGTCTGGGCTAAATGTCTAGTTGAACAGTGGTAGCAAAGGTCTCATACTACTGTGGTCCCTGGCAGATAGACTAGACAGTACAGTCATACCTTGGGTTACAGACGCTTCAGGTTGTGTTTTTTTGACCTGCCGAAAACTGGAAGTACTGGAACGGGTTACTTCCGGGTTTTGGGGGTTACGCTTTGCGCATAAGCGCCGAATTGTAACCTAAGCATGCGCAGATGCGCCACTGCGGGTTGCAAATGTGCATCCCGCACAGATCACGTTCGCAACCCGAGCGTCCACTGTACTGGCCTAGATGGAACATAAAAGGTAAAGGTAAAGGTACCCCTGCCCGTACGGGCCAGTCGTGACCGACTCTAGGGTTGCGCGCTCATCTCGCTCAAGAAGCCGGGAGCCGGCGCCATCCGAAGACACTTCCGGGTCACGTGGCCAGCGTGCCGAAGCTGCATCTGGCGAGCCAGCACCAGCGCCGCACATGGAAACGCTGTTTACCTTCCCGCTAGAAAGCGGTCCCTATTTATCTACTTGCACTTAGGGGTGCTTTCGAACTGCTAGGTGGGCAGGAGCTGGGACCGAACAATGGGAGCTCACCCCGCCGCGGGGATTCGAACCGCCGACCTTTCGATCAGCAAGTCCTAGGCTCTGTGGTTTAACCCACAGCGCCACCTGCGTCCCCCAGATGGAATATAGTCTGTGGCAAACTTTCAAGCCACGTAACTATAACCCACAGGGTGCCTGTAGGACCACATCGCTTGTTGGCACCTTTCTGTCTGACAATAGAGTGCCCTTCTGGGAGTGAAATGAAAGTGCTGCGTTAGCAGCACCAAAGTGACCTCTCTGGGAAACCAGCCTGGGCAGTGTGTATGGAGGTCCATGTCATCCCTTAACAAATGCCTAGGAACCAATTCCTCCTCCTCCTCCTCCTCCTCCTCCAGGCCCACAGATTAGCCAGAAAGCGACACCCTGTACCCAAGCAATGGGGGGAAGGGGAGGGGGAGGGAGAGATACTGCTATAAATATCATTGCACTGGTTTTCCCAGGGCAGGTTGCCCTCTGGGAACGAGATCAATTTTCATTTTCTTCCATAACAAGGAGGGCGACTAACGTTTCAAAAAACAACCCAGGGCCTGCTTCCGTTTATACCCCGCCTTTCCGGCAAGTGGGACCGACGGCGGATAACAATGGAAACAATTTTAATTTTAAAAAAGAAAAAAAGTCGATAGGAAAATATAGCAGGTGGCGTTTTACTTGGCCCATAGAGCCACGCAGTGCACATCTTTGCCGCACACCTTTCTAAGGAGCAGCCCCCCCCCCCGGAGAAGAAAGCGCCCCTTCTATCTTCCAGGGACCCACACCCAGCCCCTTATCTGCCTGTTTCTCCGCTGGGCCTCAGCCATTTTACACACAAAAAACCGCGTTTCCCCCAAAAAGGGGAAGCGGAAAGGCCTTGCCCCCCCCCCCCCGAGAGGCCCAGCATCCTCGCAGGAGGCCTCCGCCCCGGGCAAGTCCCCGTCGCCCGCCCCTCGGTGCGCGCAGGCCGCCTCCCTCGTCGCCGCCGCTTACCTGGTGGCGTCGGCCACGTTCCTGACGAAGAGCGAGGTGTTGGGAGGCCGCGTGTACCGGGACATGGCGCAGGGGGGCCCGGGGACTCTCCTCCCCACCGAGACGGGGACGGGGGGCTGGGCAGGGCGAGGCGCTCTCCGCGCTCAGCCGCCGGAGAGCCTGAGATGGAGGCAGCGGAAGGGGAAGGGGCCGGAGGTAGGAGCTGCAACGGCGGAGACCAGAAGGGGCGGGAACAATGGAGGAGGGGAGGGAGAAGAAGCAGAAGCAGCGAGCGCTCTCCCCGCGGGCTGCTCGACCAGGGACCACGGCGGAGGCCGCCCGGTGGGCTCGCCGAGGGCAGGGCGCCGCCGCCGCCGCCACGGGAAAGTTATTTCAACAGGCCCCAAGTTCACTCCCTGCTTTCAAGGGGTGTCAGGTAGTGGGATCATGGACCGCTCCTCCTTTCTCGCTTTCTTTTTTTTTTCCTTTTGGAAAAAGGCGAGGGCTGCTGAGGCGCTCCAGTTCCGCTGCCTGGAAATGTAGAACTGCACACAATCGACGCGCTTACGCTTCCAGGAAAGGCAGCTGAGCTGAGAGAAGTGACAGGTCTCACATTTCAATAACCCACGGAAGGAGCTAGTGCAATAATTCTAGCGTTTGGAGAAATGGGCTCAGGAGCTGAAGAGTCTCTGCCTAAGCTTTATTTATGTCCACACTCAAGCTAGGGCTTTGTAGGGGAATCGAGATGCGGCTCAGCGCCGTGCCAAGATGGGAGCACCTGGAGCATCAGTAATGCATGGCAGAGAAGTTACGGCTTTGCTTCTGGTTTTGAACCATGTATCAGAGCAGAGGCATGGATAACTGTCAATAACACAAGTATAAAGAAAGACATATACTTCTGAATAGCTGGGAACTGCAGGAGGGGAGGGTGCTGTGGCGCTTAGGTCCGGCTTGCAAGGCTTCCCACAGGCAGGACTATTCTTACGTTCTTAAATGCTACCACATTATAATATTAATGCCAAGCCATCTTTAATACCTTTCCATCATTTGGGGCTATCTGAGATATAGAACATTATATTCGCCATAATAGCTTCCATTAATTCATATCTCATAAATAGGATGGAGCGGGTTAGCCAATGATGAAGTGGCAGCAGTAGAAGTTGTAAAAATAGCCTGCTTGCCCTTTAATGACACCCCTCATAAACCCAAGGTGGCCAATTCACCCTGCTTCATTCTTATTTATTTCTTGCCCACCCCTTCAACCTAAGGTCCCAGGGCCATGGTAGAGATGGCCCTGATTGTGGAAGGACCTGATTTAAAGCACATGCGAACTTCATGCCAACTGTGTGTTTATTATTATTATTATTATTATTGCCAGCAGGAAAACCACAAGGCTTAATGGAAATTTATTTATCCGTTGCATTTTTATACCACATTCTGCCAAGGCACTCAAGGTGATTTCCAACCTTAACCTTCAAAAAAGGGTATAAAATATAGAACAATACTATCAGACCAACTAGTAGTCCCTTCAGGAGCTGATAGCATCAGCTGTCTGGTCTAGGTTTCTGCCTTCCCTCAGGGCATACAAGTCTTTAGGTAGTTCCAGGAAAGGAGTGCCTGGCGTGCTCTGGTCCATGGGGTCACGAAGAGTTGGACACGACTAAAAGACTAAACAACAACAACAAGGAAAGGAGTGGCAGACGGGAGTGCCTGGCGTGCTCTGGTCAATGGGGTCAAGAAGAGTGGGACATGACTAAACAACAACATAGGTTTGTGGTGAAGTAAAATGGAGTTAGGGGGGAGAACTGTGTATGCCATGTTGAGGTCCTTGGATGAAAGGAGGGGTATAATTTTAATAATAAATAGATGCAATTTAGGTATGCTAAATGTTTGTTTTCTTTTAAATTATTTTATATGTCTTGGATCCGCCTTAATTAAATATATATATAATTTTTTTAATCGTTGCTGAAACTTGCATGCATCCCTGTATTCTGCTGTTCTTTTCATCTTTCCATTAATCCTAACTAGGCAGGTTATTCAGATGTTAGTGCACAAAATTCAGGGTAAACAATGCAGTGCTTATATTACACTAATACCGAAAAATGAGACTGAAAAGACGCAACTTAAGAACTACCGCCCCATATCCCTGCTCAATGTGGATTACAAAATTTTCGCAGATATTTTGGCTAAAAGGTTAAAAAAAGTATTAGTAGAAGAGATCCATAAAGACCAAGCTGGCTTTCTCCCAGGTAGACACTTGTCTGACAACATGAGGAATATAATTGACATTTTGGAGATGCTGCAAGTAAATATTAACACTAAAGCAGTATTAATTTTTGTTGATGCAGAGAAAGCCTTTGATAATATTTCTTGGAGCTTCATGAAGAAAAATCTTCAGGGGATGGGAGTGGGTCAAGGGTTTGAAAATGGTATAAGTGCAATATACTCAGAATAAAAAGCTAAGTTAATAGTTAATAATGTGGTAACAGAAGAATTTAAGATAGAGAAAGGGACACGACAAGGCTGCCCAATTTCCCCATTGCTTTTTATTTCGGTCCTGGAGGTTTTGCTAAATATGATTAGAAGGGACCGTCTGATTAAAGGTATACAGGTCGGAGCTAAACAGTACAAACTGAAAGCTTTTGCAGATGATTTGGTATTGACGCTACAGGAGCCAGAATCTAGTACTAAAAGAGTATTAGAATTGATTCAGGAATTTGGTCATGTGGCATGATTTAAGTTGAACAAGTTAAAAACTAAGGTGCTTGAGAAAAATCTAACACCGATTGAGAAAGAGAGGTTTCAGAAGGAGACAGGTTTAACATTGGTTAAGAAAGTAAAATACTTGGGGGTTAATATGACTGCTAAGAATTTAAACCTATTTAAAGACAATTATGAGAAATGTTGGTTAGAAGTGAAAAAGGATTTAGAGATATGGTCAAACTTGAAGCTTTCCTTGTTAGGCCGAATTGCTGTTATAAAGATGAATGTATTGCCAAGAATGTTATTTCTCTTTCAGTCATTGCAAATTGTGGACAAAATGGACTGTTTCAAGAGGTGGCAGAGAGATATTTCAAAATTTGTCTGGCAGGGCAAAAAGCCTAGAATAAAATTTAAAATACTAACTGACGCAAAGGATAGAGGTGGATTTGCCCTGCCAGACCTTAGACTCTATTATGAATCAGCAGCATTCTGCTGGTTGAAAGAATGGCTGCTTCTTGAAAACACAGACATTTTGGACTTAGAAGGTTTCAACAATGTTTTTGGGTGGCATGCATATTTGTGGTATGACAAGGTTAAAGCACATAAAGCATTTAAAAACCATATTGTCAGAAAAGCATTGCTAAATGTCTGGATAAGATACAAGGACTTATTGGAAAACAAAACCCCTAGGTGGTTGTCACCGATGGAAGCAAAAGCTCAGAAAAGGCTCAATATGGAGGCCAAATGGCTGAAATATTGGGAAATTTTGGAACAGGAAGGAGACAAATTGAAATTGCAGAGTTTCGAGAAACTAAAAAACAAAGTGCGAGACTGGCTTCATTACTATCAGATAATGGAGGCATATAATTTGGATAAGAAAATTGGCTTCCAGGTGGAAAAATCAAAACTGGAAACAGAATTGTTAGAACCCAATACTAAGACTTTGTCAAGAATGTATAACTTGTTGTTGAAATGGAATACTCAGGATGAAACCGTGAAATCTGCTATGATTAAATGGGCACAAGATTTAGGACATAATATCATGTTTGCTGACTGGGAACAGTTGTGGACCACAGGTATGAAATTTACGGCATGTAATGCCTTAAGAGAGAATATTATGAAAATGATATATAGGTGGTACATGACACCAGTCAAGCTTGCAAAAATCTACCATGTGCCCGATAATAAATGTTGGAAATGTAAGGAAAATGAAGGTACTTTTTTTCACCTTTGGTGGACGTGCCCAAAGATTAAGGCTTTCTGGGAAATGATATATAATGAATTGAAAAAGGTATTTAAATATACCTTCTTGAAGAAACCAGAGGCCTTTCTCCTGGGCATAGTCGGCCAATTGGTGCCAAAGAAGGATAGAACTTTCTTTATGTATGCCACAACAGCAGCAAGAATACTTATTGCAAAGTATTGGAAGACACAAGACTTACCCACTCTGGAAGAATGGCAGATGAAGGTGATGGACTACATGGAATTGGCGGAAATGACTGGCAGAATCCGAGACCAGGGAGAAGAGTCGGTGGAAGAAGATTGGAAGAAATTTAAAGACTATTTACAGAAATACTGCAAAATCAATGAATGTTAGAATGATGTTGGATTGAAGTTAAGTGGTTTCTAGCTGTAATGGTATAAAAGAATATGAAAAAATGGATTTTTAACAGGTAAAAATTTAATGTTATAATATATTTAAGATTAAAGATCAGGATGAATTAAGGAGGGAAAGGAACTGCTGAACTAACAAATTGAACTGGAATACAAAAAGGGAGGTCTGAGAAGGTCCGTGAAACAAGTAAATGAAAGATAAATGATAGAAAGATTGAATTGTTTTTAATTATTTTTATTTTGTATTTTTTCTTCTTTTTCTTTTTTCATTTTGTAATATTGTGAAAATCTTAATAAATATTTATAAAAAAATAAATAAATAAAGCACATGCGAACTTCATGCCAACTGTGCATTGTTGGCCTCAACTGCTTTAGCCTGTTTATTATTATTATTATTATTATTGCCAGCAGGAAAACCACAAGGCTTAATGGAAATTTATTTATCCGTTGCATTTTTATACCACATTCTGCCAAGGCACTCAAGGTGATTTCCAACCTTAACCTTCAAAAAAGGGTATAAAATATAGAACAATACTATCAGACCAACTAGTAGTCCCTTCAGGAGCTGATAGCATCAGCTGTCTGGTCTGGGTTTCTGCCTTCCCTCAGGGCATACAAGTCTTTAGGTAGCTCTAGGAAAGGAGTGCCTGGCGTGCTCTGGTCCATGGGGTCACGAAGAGTTGGACATGACTAAAAGACTAAACAACAACAACAGGGAAAGGAGTGGCAGACGGGAGTGCCTGGCGTGCTCTGGTCAATGGGGTCACGAAGAGTGGGACATGACTAAACAACAACATAGGTTTGTGGTGAAGTAAAATGGAGTTAGGGGGGAGAACTGTGTATGCCATGTTGAGGTCCTTGGATGAAAGGAGGGGTATAATTTTAATAATAAATAGATGCAATTTAGGTATGCTAAATGTTTGTTTTCTTTTAAATTATTTTATATGTCTTGGATCCGCCTTAATTAAATATATATATAATTTTTAATCGTTGCTGAAACTTGCATGCATCCCTGTATTCTGCTGTTCTTTTCATCTTTCCATTAATCCTAACTAGGCAGGTTATTCAGATGTTAGTGCACAAAATTCAGGGTAAACAATGCAGTGCTTAACTTAATCCTTTCTCTCCTTTTCATACGGCTTTTATACCATAAATTTTGATGAATGTATAGTCACTGTTCAACCTCTGAAGCAAACAGCTCAGTTTTTATCATGTTTACTTGGATTTGAGACCCATTATAATTACTTCTCTAATGCACTTAAATGTATCAACATTTCAAATAGAACAAAAATTCCAGCACTCTCTCTTATTAAAATAATGTGATACACGTACTGCACTTGTTAAAAATAGTAAGCCAGATATCAGAAGATACAGCAGGAAACTGTTGAGATACTAAATGTATCTTAGCATAATCTCTTATTTATAGTCTGTGATGTCAATTAGAGCCTGAATATATATTAATTTGTGGTTTGGAGGATGTCTTATATTATTGGTATTTAAGCCAAAAGAAAGCTGAACTTCATGTACAGCTGCAATCCAAGCATGTTTAGAATTATTACTTACCATTATTGCCAGGATAGGCGCATTTTAGCAAATAGATATTTCTTAAAGTGAGTCAATCAGCCCATTAAAATTCACTGTCATATACACATGCTGCAATAAACTGAGCAATAAAGAAGTATCCGGCTAGAATGGGGATTTAGAAAGGATTGATTTCATTTGTTTGAATGATGAATGGCAATATATATTACGCCTGTAAGAACTTGACTGATTCCAGGTGGAAACAGTTTACATTAGTAGGTGATTTGCTACCAGAAGAGCTCTGCTAAATAAGATGCTTATAAATATGATACAACTTTAGCAGTTAAAAAATATTTGTTTGCCATGTCAAAACATCCTACACTCTGCTCCCGCTGCCTCAGAAATACTTCCTCGGCCATTGTCCCCTTTGCTTGCCCTATCTCTTTTTATATTGAAGGTATATCTGTTCTGATGTCCAAGTAGGTCTGTGCTGGCAGAGGACGGATGCCCCCTCTGGCTGCCACTGCCTTTCTAACATTGCAGAGGCTCTGGAGGATCATTTTAAGCCTTAAAAACCTGAATTTTGCAACCCATCAACACCCTTCTGGAAATTTAACTTCTGCATGAATGTGTCAGTATGTTAATAGTCTTTCAAATTAGATGCAAAACATGCTGGGGGGGGGGGGGAGATAGATGACACTTCTGGGATAACAGTGGCTGATGTTTGGTTTGGGATAGCTTCTGTAGTTGGCTATTATCCAAACTTCTCTGATGATAGGGAATATTCATAAACTGTCAAAACTTGTGAGGTTAAGTAGGCAGGAAGTTCTGGGAACAGAGAAACTAGGGGACCACAGCTCATACAGACTGTAAAGACAATAGGATGAATAGGGTGGTGGTCTCAACAAGGGAACATGTGACAAAAGGTAGGCTAGGAAGAACTGGGAGGTGAGGGGATAGGAATATTAATTTGACACAATCAGTCAAATCCTTGGTATAAAACTCTTGCAGGTATTTACATGTGATCTAAACTGCTACTGGTTGGTTTCAATCAGCAATCAATTGTATTTCAGCCACTCTTTGTTTGACTTCAGCAGGCTCAAGACATCCTTGGGGACAGAAGCAGGCACTTCTATTTTAAACAGACACACACCAAAAGCTTTTTGCTATGAACAGATTAAGCCATGCACAGCTAAATACTTAATGAGACTTGTGAGGGCTGCATTAAACTTGATCTCCCGGCCCTTATGACCCCAACAGATGGTGGTTCTGGTAGACCAATGGAAAGTTGCAGAACTTCATACACCCACCAGCATAAACATACAGATGTTTATTTGATGCAATACTCTTGATAAAAATACACTTGACTCCTGGAAGACAAACCTGATCAGACTTAAGGGTACACTTGCCAGCCTTTCTTCAAAGTCCTGAAACAATACAGATTCTCACCAGTATCTTTCAGTGTTGATTCTTTTCTGTGTGTTATGTTTAATGTTGTGGTACCTGAATATGAGAGATGTGAAAATTGCGTATAAACGCAGCTATACATAAATTTTCACAAACCACTCTATCTGTCTCTTATCTATCTTCATTCGGGTACCACAACAGTAAACATAATATTGACCCAAGAGCCTAGTCCAGAAATAACCTTTTTTTAACCTCTGTCCCTGGTGGTTGAACAATGCCCTGTATCGAGTGACTTCTAGGAAAAGAGGTAGGATTAGGTTTCGGTGTTGATCCTCGGCTCAGGTTAAACCCTATATATACACCTGGGCAACAACACTTCGGTAGCTTAAGCGGCACGCGGCGGTGGGAGCTGTTTTCCCTTTTAGAACTCTTCGCGGAGTGTTAAAGAAAAGCGACTACTTTTCCCAGCAAGCTCTGCGGAAGAAAGTCCCGGCCTGGGCTGCTAACCGAGGCTATATAAGCCCTTCGGGCGGCGCGGGTTTCAGACACTTGCCGGTGGCTGTCGTGGTTGCGAAGCTGGTGGCGGCTCTTTTCCTTCTGACGCTGCAGCGCGCTGTTGTTGTTCCCGTTTATTCTCCCTTAGAACGAGCTCCTTTCCAATGAGGCCGAACGAGGCGTCCGAGGCGCCCGCTCTGGCGGCGCGCCTGGAGGAGCTGAAGCGTCGGGCGGCCGAGTGCATCGAGGCGTCGTCGGAGCGGCTGGCCGAGCTGAGCCGCGAGATCTGGAGCCGGCCGGAGCTGGCTTACGAGGAGCGCCAGGCTCACGACGCCCTCGCCCGCTTCTTCGCCGGCCTGGCCCCGGGGTCCTCGGCGGCCGGCGCTTGGCTGGTGCAGCGCAGCTACAAGCTGGAGACGGCCTTGCGGGCGGACTGGCAGTGGGGCGGCGAGGGAGACGCCGCGGGGGCTGCTCCTGCCGCCGCCGCCGCCGCCGAGGACGGGCAGAAGGCGCCCCTCCGGCTGGGCTTCTTGTGCGAGTATGACGCCCTGCCGGGCATCGGCCACGCCTGCGGCCACAACCTCATCGCCGAAGTGGGTGCCGCCGCCGCGCTGGGCCTGAAGGGCGCCCTGGAGAGCCTCCGCCCGAGCGGAGCCGCCGACGGACTGTCCCGCCACGTCCCCGCCGTCAAGGTGCAGGGTGGGTGGGAGAGGGGGAGAAGCTGCGCCCCGCATCTTTTGCCTTCAACCCACAACCTTTCCGAGCCCCCTCTTTTTCTTTCCTTTTTTGGGGGGGCGGGTGGGCTCGCTGGGACGCTGCTGCAGTTCTCACCATGCCCATTCTTTGCGTCTTGTTTTCGCAAAGTGCCCTAGAAAGATCTCTGGAGGTGTACAGTGGTACCTCAGGTTACATACGCTTCAGGTTACATACTCCGCTAACCCAGAAATAGTGCTTCAGGTTAAAAACTTTGCTTCAGGTTGAGAACAGAAATCGTGCTCCGGTGGCACGGCAGCAGCAGGAGGCCCCGTTAGCTAAAGTGGTGCTTCAGGTTAAGAACAGTTTCAGGTTAAGTACGGACCTCCGGAACGATTACGTACTTAACCCGAGGTACCGCTGCATATGCAACTTTTAAACCTATGGGTAAATAAAGAAAGACCCTCCGGTAAAGAGAGTGCCACGTCCCGCACCCCTGGATGCTTTGGTATTTTGCTGCTCTTCCTGACCCACATGTCACCTTTGCTTTCAGGTCACCGTGTTGGGCACCCCTGCCGAAGAAGACGGAGGAGGCAAAATCGACTTGATCAAAGCCGGGGCTTTCGATGGTCTGGACGTTGTTTTCATGGCCCATCCATCCCAAGAAGATGCAGCATATTTGCCCGACGTAGCAGAACATGAGTGAGTAAACTGGAATGGGAGGCATTGTTTACTTGGCCATTGTAACAAGCCTTTCACTTTTGATCCACTTTTGAGTTACTCGTTTGGCTTTCCAAAGGGCACTTGGAACAATTTATGTAACGTTCTGCTGCTGTTTCTAATAAACCGCTAATGAGCACGTGGTGCTTGTGTGGAGCTGTCAAGCGAAACAAGTTTCTACTTCAATTAACTTGTATTACGTGAGGTTTGAGTTTTTATACCATAACCGTTAATTCATTATCCTAAAGGGCCCCAGTAAGAAAGGAAGGCTGGGTGGCATTATGAAACAGCTGCCAAGGCCTCTTGTGCCAAAGGTCCTGTTCTTTCTCACTATGCTGTCCAGAAGCAGCTCACCCACAATTCTCCTACGTACTTTTCCTCTTAGCTGTGCACTGGGGAAAGTTGGGGTGATGTGAGGAAGATATGAGGATCTCCAAAGCCAACCTGCTCCCAGTAACCAGTCCTTCAGTATGGGTGATGGAGTCCATGCACAGAACACAGGTCCATTGGTCTATCTAGCTCGCCTTGCACTACCTGGAGATGCAGGGGATTGAACCTGCAATTTCCTGAATGCAAAGCAGATGCTGTGCCACTGAGTTACTTCCCATCTTCCTTAAGCTATATCCTACCCAGTGATCTGCCAACAAGTTTTAGTTCCAGAACTGCTACTCTCTACATGTTTTTTACTCCCCTGGTTGTTGGGAGGAGGGGGCAGATAGAGCCTCCATCTAGAGTTGGTCCTAAGATCTTCAGTTATTGACCTTATTCTATATATTTACAATTATATGCACATTCTGAGTAAAGTATTGTATGCAAAATTATGTCACTTATGTCACTTTGTAGTGAATTACAGCAGGGCTTCATTTTCAGGGACTTTTACGTATTTGAAACATATCTTTATTCAACATCATCTTATTCAAGTTGCCTAATGAGCTTCTGTTTTGTTTTGTTTTTAAATCAGTTGGACCAGTAGCTAGGTAACCCTAACAATGATTTTTTAATTTAGCTCAAGGTATAAATTTCATTTCCTGATGTGTGATAGCGTTCATGAAACTGCCAACTTTATTGGAATAGGAGATGCTGCAGTTTAACAAACACCCTTCCACCCACAGTTTGTTTTACTCTTTATACACATTTGTTAATATATTTGAACAGAACCATTATTGGGACTAGAGTTGGTGCTGGGTGTTTTTGAAGTCATTCTGTTTAGTTGGAAGCAATTCTGGTTATACAATATTTCTTCATGTGATTATTAAAGGAGTTTGTTTCAGCTGATCTCATTACCGAACATCTCCAGAAATTAGATCTGGTGTTTGCCTGCAATGTAGACCTAAATGTCTTGTGACTCAAAGCTGTACAGTGGAGTGTTAAAAACTTTTGTATTTCCTTTCACATTTCTGCAAAGATGACCACACATAGGCATATTAAGAACAAGTAGAACTGATGTTCGGCTGTATACAATTAAGATTGTATATAGAATTGAATACAGTGGTACCTCTGCTTACAAACTTAATTCTTTCTGGAGGTCCTCTCTCAACTCGAAACCGTTCTTAACCTGAGGCGCGCTTTCACTAATGGGGCCTCCTGCGCGCCTCTGGAGCGCGATTTCTGCTCACATCCCAGGGCAAAGTTTGCAACCAGGAGCACCTACTTCCAGGATAGCAGAGCTTGTAACCCGAAGTGTTCGCAAGGAGGACGGTTCGTAACCAGAGGTGTTACTGTGCATTGTGCTTTTCTTAAAAGTTTCTGGCAGTTAACACACCAACCCAGAAATGCAGAGTGCCCCATTCCTCTTGGTCTTCTGTTTTTTGACTGCCTTTCTGCCATAGTGAAGTTCACACCCAGGGTATGATGGCTATGTTGACATCTCAGTAGCCTTCCGTATCAGGAAAGCAGTGGTGTGTTGCAGATATTGCAATGACAAACAAGGTATATTTGTAAAAAAAAAAAAAATCCTTTGTAAAAGTTGTGATTTTCACCCCAATTGGTTTTTTTGTTTTTTTGAATAGAAAGGCTCATCTTAAGCCACTCAGGGCACCTTTTGTGACTGAAGAGCAGGATAAAAATGCTTTAAATAAATAAAAGGTGTGGCTTCATTTCACCACCTAGCTCTCATTGGATCACTAGTAAATATTACAAGCTTCAAGTGCCTTTCCTCATCGTTAGAGATGGCTTTCCATTTTTGAAGCGAGCTGACCAGCACAGATGATTTCTTGTGACTAGAGGTGGAAGAACACTTCCTCACTTCTTTTGAAAACCACACAACATCTTTATAGAGACTAAGATGAGATTCCTTCCCCCTCGACCCCCAATATGTGTGGTAGGGATGTTATCCCTTCATAGAAATTTAGTACAGTTTTTTCAGTTTTGTCTTGACTTAATCTTCCTTTGTTCTTCATATTGAACAGAATGGGCACAAAATCTAATGCCAGAAGCTATGAGCTTTATAATTAATTGTGGTCTCATGTAACAGATTACTTTAGATCAGTACTAATTCTAATGTTTTCACGTCTTCTTCTGCAGGTGATTCATCAAGTAAAAACACAGCCCTTTGAATTGTCTCCATTTGCAGAACATAATCTTTTTTCCCCTCTCTGGATGCAGTACACCTGGTGCTTGATCCTCTACTCCTGCACAGTAATAGCAGGATTAGCGGGAAGGGAGGTGGTGGACATCAGTATATGAAGACCAACTGGAAACAGAGCTCTGTTGAAAGTGTTTACTTTCAGATGCTTTTTGTATTCTTAGCCTCCATATCCCTGCACATACCAAAACAACTAGTAGGAAAGTTCTACGCATTTACTTCTCAAAATTGCCATTGTAGTAATAGGGATATGTTATTTTTTATACATGGGGCAGTATTGAACTTACAGTACAGTACTGAATTATTGCTTAGAAGTTCAGAGCTCGTTTGAGATTTCCAAGAGAGAACTGTACAAAGCAAGTTTTTGAATGCTACTCATTTTAGGAATTTATACCCCACCTTTCGCATCCATCTCAAACTGGCTATCACAATTTTTAAAACGTAGCAGCAAATAAAATTGAGTCAGAAAATAACACTTAAAGCAGTGATCCAATTAAAAGGGTGGTGTGTATCATAACAGGCCACCAAATGCCATTAGCATTCCAAGCAGACAGAACAGATTTGCCCAAATTGTAATGATGAAGGAACAGTTGAACATATCTAAGAGGAGAGTTCCAGCACTGAAAAGGCACTTCTCCCACTAGTCACTCACCTAACTTCAGGATGCACAGAGAAAGGCCTTTGACAAATAATTGATGGATTCTATCCTAGTTCTTGGGCCAGGCTACGTTAAGTATTTTTACCCAGTTTTCTGTTGAAAAGGCTTCCAGAGCAGATGACATAAGATCAGTAGCAAGATGACCTGCTCACAGGCATGCAGTCTGAAAGACAGTGATATTCAGTGATAGTCATAATATGCTGTAGACCCACTGACAGCAATGGATTTTAGCCCGTTTTAATGGGTCTGGTCTAAGTATGGCTTAGTTGGGTATCACTCACAGCACAGAAGGGAAAAGAGGAGGCGTAGGGAGGGAAGAGGAAAACAAGCAAACTCGGCTACCAATTTTTGCCAATACATCATACCTCGGTGAGAGGAGCTGTAGGATTTCATGATTAGCATTTCTATGTTCAACAGCAGTGTTGAATCAACATTTCCAGTAGCTCTCAGTAGACTGATAGTATAGACCTTTTAACTATATATGCATAAGGATGGAAGAGCACTGGCATTCTGAGCTTAACAACAGTATTCCCTATGATTCAGTTGGGACAGAAGTATGATTCTCTTGTTTCTCTTATCTATAGCATTTATGCTGCTTCTCTATCCTACTTTATATAACTTATGCTACTGAACTCCATAGCCTGGCATGACCCTGAAAGGCTGGGCTGTCTTCGGATATAGCTTTATATGTTGCACCTAGCATGTATTGCTGGGGTTATGTTTGGGTCATGTTGGAAGTGAATAGTGCTGATACACAGCATATCCACATTTATTTAACAATGTTTTTATAACACTTGATTCTAGGAAAACCTCAGCAACAAATATTCTGCACTCTGGAAAACTGTTTGCTGAATTCTTCATAGTTTTTGGTTGGGAAATGTGTCAAGTTTGTCTTCACACAGGACATTGCAAACTGCTGTCTTTACCTTTGGCTTTTGTGTTTGTCCTAACCTTTTCGTTATAATTTCTGTCAAGTTTTATTAAACACATATCAGTGTATTTTTGAACAAAGTCTGCACAGTCTCCAAACTTGGCTGCAGCCAAAGAAGAATAGGTTTGCAACAGAATAACTCACACACCCTAGATGATAAATCACGCTTTGAATATGAAGCCATGTAAGCAAAAGCCTATGCAAGGGTCCCGTGTAATGCGAGACGTTTGGGGTTGTTTGCTCACAGTTCATAGTGTGCTTAATACCTGTTTCTAATTAATGATTTTTATTACTAAGCCTCAGGTAGTCATCTTACCTAAGTGTAACTCAAGTTTCCCAAGGTCAGAATAAAGTCATCAGATGTACATATTTAGACTCTTGAGTAGTTGCAATTTGTTGCAGCTGGTTTCATATCTTTATAGATCTCTTAAGATCTTAGGAAGAATATGATATATGCCAGAATATGATAGATAACCAGTGTGGTATTGTGGTTAAAGTGCCAAATCTTCACTTGGCTGTGAAGCTCACCAACTCAGCATAACCGATCACTTGGGGTTGTGAGGGTCGTCTGCAGAGAGAGAAACACCTACATCCCTTTGAGCTCATTGGAGGACAGGTGGGATATAAATGTAGTAAATACATACATGAATAAATACAAGAGGACATTTACTAATCCTTTGCTCCCAGCAGGTTTTATAGGCCAACGTTATAACGGTGCTAGTTCCTTGAACAATAAATTTTTCATGCTAATTTTTTAACATTGCTTTTCAAAATTCAGGTCTTACTTAGTTGTGATTAAATTTTAATTTAGGCCCTGTGGAACGCCCTCCCATCAGATGTCAAAGCGATAAATAACTACCTGACATTTAGAAGACATCTTAAGGCAGCCCTGTTCAGGGAAGCTTTTAATCTGTGATATTTTACTGTATTTTTTGTTTCTATGGAAGCCGCCCAGAGTGGCTGGGGAAACCCAGCCAGATGGGCGGGGTACAAATAATAAATTATTATTATTATTATTATTATTATTATTATTATTATTATTATGTTGGTTCGAACACAGTTCTATTTCATGAAAATAAACAAGGCAAGGTTTTTAAATTTGTCAGGGATACTGCAATCTGTATAATTCAATTCAGTGGCAGAGCTGGCCATCTGATCTTTTTAAATTTAGAAAATGCAGTGGGTTTTTTGGTTTTTTTTAAAAAGGTAGAAAACACTGCAGCAGTTATTCAATATTATTGCTAATAGTAAAGCATCTGTTGTGTTCTGTAAATTCTATCATCCTGACAAACCAAATGGTTCTGGTTAAGGCAGCTCAGAATGCATGGAGCTCCTCCATTGAGAATGGTTCCCCCCATTCAGTGGATGAACCATGTATAAATAAACATTTATGTGTACTTCCTTCTCAAGAAATGCTTGAATTGTTCTCTATTTGGAAAGGATCTCTGGATGAGGACAATTGTGTTGGGTATTGTAATTGAGGGGAGGTGGTGAACTGAGTTGTCAGGAAATCTCACACCAGTTGATTGTAGTTTGTTATTTGCTTCACGCCTTTTGAAAATGTCTGTTTTCTTAGTTGATTTGTTAAGATACTTCTCTACCAGACACAATTTATTTCTGTCTAATATACTAATATTCTTTATTTCCACAGAAGTTAGTTCCTGTCTTGTATGTACCTATTTCAGTACACGTGGTCCATATAAATGTCAGACTTGGTTTTGTGATGACAAAGATCAGCTTTGAGTATCAAAGCTCTGTATTGAATACCTCCTACTCTCAAAACATGTTGGTCTGTTTTTCCAGCAATTATCTTTATAGAGGATTGAGGTTAAAAAAAATCAAACCCCTATATTATAGCATAGACCTTTATCTCATTAGAACTTAAGTTCGTTGAATGAATCCAAAGGGATATTTTTCCTTTCAAAAAGTGTTTAAAAACCAGTGATGGCTTTTATTTCCTAGTGTGACTGTGAAATACTATGGAAAAGCTTCTCATGCTGCTGCTTACCCTTGGGAAGGAGTAAATGCATTAGATGCTGCTGTTCTTGCATACAACAATCTGTCAGTTTTAAGACAGCAAATGAAACCAACATGGAGAGTTCATGGTGAGATGTTCATTAAATCTTATGTCCAGCAAGTAATACTTCAGGCACTGTTTTATAATGTATCTGGCATGTTAACATTAAAATGAAAATGGCTGTTCATGTGTTTAGTTTTCTGATAAATGTTCAATCTGTTGCTAAAGTTGAAAGTTCTTTAAGAGCTATACAACTTTGGTATGGATATGTTCACTTAATAGACTTTGGTCATGTTTTCCCAAAACAATATGTCAGGGTTGTTTGCTTAAAAAACCATATTGTGTGAGCTGCATCCTGGTGTATGCAGCCCATAGGTAATTGAACCCATATAGCAAGATGTCTGAAGTTTGGATTGTGATTTGTTTCACCCTAACAAGCTATGTTTACTTAGTTTGTTGTTGGCAAATTCTCACTTGTTAGGGAGAACAAACCATGAACCCAAGTTTGGATGTTGTTCTAACCTGATTTTATCTGCTCATACCAGGGGTGGTGAGAGCAGTCAGGCTCCATGTATGGTTTAATTAGCCAAGGTTAATGAACGTTCATCAGATGGTGATTGGTGTTAAGGTTGAGTATTATGATGGCAGACACCTGCAATAATGTGTATTGTAACAGCGAGTCTTCACACATTTGTTTCCCCCCAAATGTGGGTTATCATACCCTGGCAGTTGGTGCAGCTCTCTATTTCCTTCCATCTTTTTTATGCTTTGGGGATGCTTATAGGATCTGCTCCTCACCCTTAGTCAGAGGTTAGAATGCATGCTGTGCTAAGCTTGTGTCATCCAGATGTGTAAAGCATACGAGTTACATACTCATAAGTGTCTGTAACACAAGCTCTGCAGTTCATGCAACTGATACATTTATTAGTGGAGTCCTGGAAGAGGTGATGGTTATATAATTGAATGCTCAAATAGCATTCCAGTTTAGCTTTACTATTAAGTGCTAGTTAACTATATATAGGGATTATTGTGAGGATGAGGCACAGTTTTGTAAGCTGCAAGGCTGAAGTGTTATGGTCCACACTTGAGTTTTAGCATGTAGTCTACTGTTTGTCTATACCTGACCATAATAATATGGGTCTAACTGTAGAAGGATTTCTAGTTTATACAACGTCGTTTAAAAATATGTGGCAACTAATCTAGACAGCTAACCAAAGGGATCAAATTAGCCATAAACACTTGCAATTCATTAACTTGACTGAAGTTAGTTAATAGTGAAAAGGTTTGGTTTCCATCTGCATGGTAAAGTAACTATTGTTCTAAAAGCCCAATAGGCCCATCAGGCAGTTTTGACCAACCCACAGCTACCTATCCTACACCTCTGGTCCTACCCATGAGGTCAGGTGTGAGGCAGGTAAAGTTGCACCTGGGCCACAGAGGAGATTGGAGGCACTGCTGATGTGTGTTGGGCTGACACTTTGAAACCCTGACTGTCAGCTGATTATCAGGCCTTCAAAGCATAGCCCCAACAATCAGCTTTGATCAGCTTCTCTCAGGAGTTCCCCATTGGATACCTCTCCACCCTATTGGATAAGCTCTCATCCAGAAGCACCCATATGATTTATGTTGCTGTTTGATTTCCAAAGCAATGGCGTTAATACCTTCCAGACAGAATTATGGGTCACTGTTGTAGTACTTCTGAATACTGCATAAAAAAATATTTTCAGTGGAAGATTCCCCCTCACCCCATATAAACTAAAATGTAAAAGGTTTTGAGCAACTTGCCATCCATAATACTTTCAATTTAAAGTAACATGGTCTTTCTGACTTGTTACTTTTTCTCGTCTTTGTTTCCTCCCATCAAATTTCTGCCCTTGTTAATGTTTATCTGTACTAGAGCTATCAAATAAGAATAGCAAATTGAAAAGAGTGAGGCAAAGTTCATCTCTTAGTGATGATAAGAAAGGAATGGTATGTCTTCTTGCATTCCCAATTTGTTTTTGTTTTTTTGTGATGTGCCCTTCATAGCACGTAGTTGCTGGTTAAACTGGTTGGAGTAGCTCTACTTCTTTTTAACTCCCCCCCCATAGGCAAGGTTACCTTGCTGGTCAATATTTAGTTTTTTATGTGGTCATGAAAGCTAATGGTAATTAGTTTTCTTTGCACAAAACCATTAAATTTAAAGCATTTGTGGCCCAGGCAGCACTGCAAGTGATTTGCTGCTTTTCAAGTGATAATTTTCCATTAAAATACTCTTAGCATGTGCATGGTTTAAATCTTACACATTTTTGTATGATGGGCCTTCTTGCTCTTGTGAGCATTGGTACCTTATTGAGGCCAAATTGGATTATACAACCAGTATCAGAAAAACACTGTGCACTGCCCTGTCTGCATCTTCCCAGCTAGTTTGTGCAGAAACACATGAGAATGGGATTATACCAGCAGTGTACCACTTGGTTTTTCTATAGCCTGTTTATCAACCATATATAGAGATAGAATCTCAAAAGTCTTGTACATATTGAAGCTTAGTCAAAGTGTGCATATTGATGCCACAGCATGGTGCAAGCATGGGCTTGCTCTTTAGAATAATACTTAGAATAATACATTTTGGGATAACCTGTGCTTGTAGGAACTTTGTTGAATCTTAGCGGAAGCAAAGACAACAACTAGTTTTGCTACACATGGATGGCATTCTCAGGAGCTCTCTTGAGTATTGCCTCTCACCTGTGAGCCAGCCAGTTTTTGCTTAAAGTTAAACCTTTCTATTTCTGTACACTCACTTTGATTTGCTTCATACAACTGTTGCATAATGTAAAAGTGATTCTTGGAGCAGGGAAGCTTGCCAGTTTTATGTACATAGCCTAATAAAATTTAGATGGTTTATAAATATTAGATGCAGCTTTCAGTTTTGCTGCCAATGTTCAGTTACTGTAGTGTAGCAGATGGATTCTAGCAAGTGATTTGAATAGCCCAAGACAACTAACGAACTATTCAGGTAAGCAACTATTCCAGGTATATTGAAGAAACCTAAAAATAATTTACTGCCTTAAAATTGCCATAGATTGCAAGCGCATTAGGTCTGGGCACCACCGAGTTGTAACAGTATTGTAGCAATTCAAACTATCTTAAAACAAAGAGCCTGTTCTTGCTGGAGTCATTCAGAACTCAGTCAAACAAGATTCTATTCATGCAAGACTTTTAAGATGGAAATGTATCATACCCCTTTATTCTTGTTTGAAATTCCCAATTGATAGTAGATTCATTTGCCTGGGCAAAATTTCATACATGCATATATAACAGATCAAGAGTTGCTTTATTCAAAGTGGTTTCAGCTGGAACTTTACTTGAGCTGTTAAGTGATAATTATCATACTTGGAGTAGAATGATTGAAATCAATGGATTTCAATGGGTCTATTGAGTATGATGAATGTCAGCTATTACCTATTGTGCGTTAGATCTGGGCCAACAGGAAAGCAAACAAACAAACGACACACTTGCTTTTGATACAGAACCTTCTCTTCTCTGATCTAAAACCTGTTTCTACCATTTGATGACGCTGCACCTTGATAGCACTCTAGTCTCTTTGTAACAAAATTTGAAGAAGGAAAGTGCATATATGGGCAGACAAAGGGTGACACTGTTTATATTATCCAGGGTGGAAAAGATGGTGTTCTGGAATTTTGTCCCCCTTACCTATTTCAAATGCTCGCACAAAAAGTGCTCCTTAAAATGGATACTGTTTAAGAGTTTGAAATATTTTCATTTCTTATCCCTTTCTCTTGGTCAGCTCATGGGTAGCTGGTGTTGTGTAACCCACTACTTTAGTATTCTTCCACCATGCACTACGTGGGTGGGGGGAGGCAGAAAAAAGATGTTAGGAGGTGTACTGTTCAAAACTGATGCCTAACTTGGTTAAGCAAAGTTGAATTATGCCACAAAAACATGTTAAATTGTTCAGCTTTAATTTACACATTAGTCTTTTCCCCAGAGGTTAGAATATGAAAGGGATGTTTTTACACCTTGACTTCTGGTCTAGTAAATATATTCAGCCTCTGTGTTACTGCTCCCTTAATCCCCCTTGTTCCAATGCCATCCAATTTTATTTCATCCTGAAAGACAACAGATGAATAACTGAGAAGAACGTGAATGCAAATCTTTGTGGGTTTTTTATTGAAATCAAATAGAATTTCAAGACACAAGGTTTTTTTTTCCTAAAAGAAAGCAAGAAAATCTGTTTTTGTTCCCACATCTGCTGGAGAGTTGGCTCAGGTGCAGAAATTAGTTTGGCTTTCCTGTTTTAGCCAGAAGCCTCAGAAACCTACTATTCAAAGTTCTGATTTCAGTAACACAGTTCTTCCTTCTTTTAGGTATAATAAAGAATGGAGGTGTGAAACCTAATATCATCCCTTCTTATGCTGAATTAGAATTTTACTTGCGTGCTCCTTCATTAAAAGAACTCTCCATCCTGACAGAAAAAGCAGAGAACTGCTTTAAATCTGCAGCCCTGGCCACAGGGTGTGAAGTAAGGTTCATAAAGATTTATTTTGCTTTTAAGTGACAATGTGAGCTGACTAATAATGATAATATTATTATTTGTTCCCCACCTGTCTGACTGTTGCCCCAGCCACTCTCTGGATGCCTTCTTAGCCAAACCACCTAGGACCTATTGAGTGATTTTAGTTGAAAGTAGCATAACATCTACATGTCGGCCTACCCTCTGACAGTTTCCCCCTATAGTTGTGGCTCCAAGCAGGCTAGATTGGGGTGATTAGGCCTGTCAAGATGTTTGAAATGGTCCAGTCACCTCTGTCTTTCTCTCATTGCAGTGCTTGGAGAAAAAGTTTCAGCACAGTGCTGTAATGGAAATAAATGTGTTTCCATATGTATGTGTGTGTGTGTGTGTGTGTGTGTGTGTATGTAAGTGGCGGTCTGTGTGTGGTGAGAGCAGAGTGTGCTTGGCCATGACCACAACTGGCATGTGGCCCTCAGAGGATTGGCCTCAACCCTCAGGCTGAAAAGGTTTATCCATCTCTGAACTAAAACCCTGATCCCGTTGAACTAACATCTCAGCGTAGCTGATATTTTGGACTTAACTGAGGGTAATGCCTCAACTTTGTCAAGTCTTGGTTCTCAAAAGTGCAAACATACCCGAGTAAGAGCGACCTTTCACATGCTTTTAAATACACAAGGACTCAGCATTGGGCTGTTTTTCTTTTCTTTTTTCTTTTTTTTAAAAAAGCTTCCTTTCTCACTGAACACTTTCTAAGTACTTTTCCTTCTTTGGTATTTTCTTTAAATCATAAAAGTAGTGAGGAGCCTAAGGGGATTAACCCTGCTTCTAAAGCTTCTACTTCAAAGTAATTTCCAACCAGAGCTCACTTCCATATTCAGTTGGAACTCCCTTCCAAGAATTTACACAATCTTGGCTGTGTGTTTTTTTCCATTTGGCATCTTTGGAAGCTGACATTCCACATTTCTAATTTATCCTGTTTTGCAAGAAGCTTGCAGTTGTCTAAGGGCAGGAAGCAGAAAATTGCTTGCTTGTTCTAGGAGATAATGCCACATTCATGCTTCGTATAAATAGGATGTGAAATGCCGAAGAAAGCTAATTAGTTCCTAAAAGTGTAATCCTTTGCATGTTTACTTTGAAGTCAGCCACACTGTGAATTGCAGCTTGTTCTCAGGTAAGTATGTTTCAGATTTCAGCCAAACACTAAGTCCTATGCATTTTTGAGAGTAAGCCCCTTTGAGTTCAGTGGGACTGACCTCTGAGTAAGACAAATAGGATTGAGTTGGAGGCCCTTTGGTTTAGACTTCATCTGGTATTTTTGTGTCAAAGCAAATGAATATTTTTCTTCTCTAGATGGAATTAAAAGGTGGTGCAAATGATTACTACAACGTGCTTCCTAACAAGAGCCTGGAAAAAGCTTACATTGAGAATGGGAAGAAACTTGGCATGGAGTTCATCCCAGAAGATAACTTGACTGGGTTGTCAGGTAATAAATAATAAAACATCCAATAAAACATTTATCAGGTTGGCTTTTACTCCTTTTCTATCCATTTCTGCTTTGTTTGTCAGCCTAGAAAATACATTTATACATCTTTTAAGAATTTCCCAACAATTGGGAAGGGTGATCAGTTTTTATATTTTAGAGTATCAGAATGTGTATTGCTAGGTGAATGCAGAAACAGATTTGAAGGGGATTTGAATTTGGTAAGGGAAAATGTAATGGGGCTGTTCTGAAACTTCAATCACATACTTTATCATATACTTATTTTCTTGTAATACTCTTAGCATTTTGTTCAACTTGATCCATGAAGTAAGGACAGGTTGAGTTAAATGGGCAGTAAACAGTGCTGCCGTGGTTTTGCCATTCCATGGTATCTGTTCTTCATCATAAACCAACTTAGGATGTAGAGTTCAAGGGCAGTGGATACCCTACTGTCCATCAACATGCAAGGGATATGATTGGTAGTCTCTAAGTTAAACTACCGTAGATTCTGGCAGATTAGGCGACTGGGCGTATTAGACGACCCCCCCCAAATTGGCAGCTGCAATTTGGGGATTTGTTTTATAAGCCCAGTTGCCTAATACATTGGGCAGCAACAGGGGGCAGGCTCAGCTCCACGCCAGGAGAAAGCCGCCTGCTGTGGAGCTGAGCCTGCCGCCCGCTGCTGCTGCTTCCAAAGCAGCAGCGGGGGGTGGGCTCCGCGTCGGACAGCTTTCCCCCAGCGCGGAGCTGAGCCCGCTGCAGGTGTTTCGGAGCCACCGCAGCAGGGGGCGGGCTCTGCTCCGCGCCACCCATACCTGGCGTATAAGGCGACCCCCGACTTTGGAGAAGATTTTCCAGGGTTCAAAAGTCGCCTTATACGTAGGAATCTACGGTATTATTTCAGGACTGCTTGATCTTGATACTACAGAAAGGAAAAACCCAGTTTATGTGCATGCTACTTATGTATATCACTTTTTCTCCAGAACTGTGTTTTCCCCCCCTTTAAGAGTGATGCCTTTTTCCATTTATGTGAGGAATTGTTGAACTGTTATTTAAGAAAACTAAATTCTCTCAACCAAAACCTCCATTCTGCTGTTGGAATCATTTCTGCATTCTGTTTATTTCAACTTGGCAAAGTGAAACATTTATGTTTGGGAGATACCTAATGTACTTGAAAAATTGTGAAATTGGCCTGATTCTGCATCTTATCATTTATCAACTTTCATTGCTAATCCCAAAATATTTATTTTACACCTTAAAAAACCCCCACAACCTGTTGCCTTTGTCTGTGTTATGTGCTCTTTTCTCTGTCATACTTTCTCATGCTGTGGGACAGGAGCTGCACAGATCTTTTTCATTTCACTTCGTTTCCAGTGCCTTTGGTTACCTCCATATCACTGTCTTTGTCCAATTCTACAGTTTTGCAGTCAATAAATAAATAACTTTGTGATCCTGACATTTGGAACAGTACCTTTCTTTTAAATCAGAATCAGTGAAGGCGGTGAAGGTCCTGTGTGAGTGTCTGGAGGCGGTTGGAGGATGGATGGCGGCTAACAGATTGAGGTTGAATCCTGACAAGACAGAAGTACTGTTTCTGGGGGACAGGAGGCGGGCAGGTGTGGAGGATTCCCTGGTCCTGAATGGGGTAACTGTGCCCCTGAAGGACCAGGTGCGCAGCCTGGGAGTCATTTTGGACTCACAGCTGTCCATGGAGGCACAGGTCAAATCTGTATCCAGGGCAGCTGTTTACCAGCTCCATCTGGTACGTAGGCTGAGACCCTATCTGCCTGCAGACTGTCTCGTCAGAGTGGTGCATGCTCTGGTTATCTCCCGCTTGGACTACTGCAATGCGCTCCATGTGGGGCTACCTTTGAAGGTGACCCGGAAACTACAACTAATCCAGAATGTGGCAGCTAGACTGGTGACTGGGAGCGGCCGCCGAGACCATATAACACCGGTCTTGAAAGACCTACATTGGCTCCCAGTACGTTTCCGAGCACAATTCAAAGTGCTGGTGCTGACCTTTAAAGCCCTAAACGGCCTCGGTCCAGTATATCTGAAGGAGCGTCTCCACCCCCATCGTTCTGCCCAGACACTGAGGTCCAGCTCCGAGCGCCTTCTGGCGGTTCCCTCACTGCGAGAGGCCAAGTTACAGGGAACCAGGCAGAGGGCCTTCTCGGTAGTGGCGCCCGCCCTGTGGAATGCCCTCCCATCAGATGTCAAAGCGATAAACAACTACCTGACATTCAGAAGACATCTGAAGGCAGCCCTTCAGTTTTTAATATGTGACATTTTAGTGTATTTTTCATCTTTGTTGGAAGCCACGCAGAGTGGCTGGGGAAACCCAGCCAGATGGGCGGGGTACAAATAAATTATTATTATTATTATTATTATTATTATTATTGTATAATAATGCAAGATGAATAAATGTGCCTTGTTGCACTGTTCCAATTGTAAGCTGCTTTCTTAGTTTGAGATCTGAATTATTACATTGCTGCAGATCATGCATAGCTGAGCAGTACTTACATATATTCCTTTTGGTAGCCTGATCTGATACATTTAAAACTACCTTTTCCTAGGTTCTACTGATTTTGGGAATGTTACCTTTGTGGTTCCTGGGATTCATCCTTATTTTTATATTGGGTCTGATGCACTAAACCATACTGAGCAATACACAACAGCTGCAGGTTAGTGAGTTTTATGTGTGTGTGTGTGTGTATATATACATGTATTCCTCCTGGCCCCCCCACCCAAAAATATACAAGAACACTAAGATGGAAATTACATTGAGTTAAAGGTTTTCCCCAGCTGGCCTATGCTTAGTGCAGCTGAATGGAACGTTAAATTGTTCTGGACTGGAATTAATGTGTCTTACCTTTCTGTGATTATTCTTCCTAGGTCTTGGACATTTGTGTACTGTGTTCCTAGGAATAGTCAGTAATAAATATTTATTTGTTTATTTGCAAAAATTCTAAGTTGTCCTTTACCATACGGTCCCTGAGTGGGTTATAATATAATATACTGTACAATAATAAGATAAAATTGCAATGACAAATAAAACTGTTCTAGCCAGCACTTCAGTGGTTAAAATTTTCAGAGGGTGTTTGCTCACACTTCTCTTGAAGTCTGTGCTACACTATTCCAAAAGTCTTGGCTTTTTTTATTGCAGCTGAAGCAACTGGAAATCTTGATGCCTTGCTAGCTGACTAACACTAGCAAGAGCAAGCACAGGTCTCTCAATGTGCTGCTGACTTAAATCAATCTTTATAGGGTTTTTTGTTTTTTTAATAAGCTAACCTAACCTCCTGGTGGTCAGGTGTGGATAACTTGTTGAAATCTCTTATGCAGATATGCATCTTAAGATCCAGTGATACTCCTACTATGAGAAGTATGTTTGTGGCAGAAATTATGAGAGGGTAGTGAAGAAACTAGAAATGTCCACATTTGGGCATATTCACAAGAAGCAATAACTTCAGGCTTACAATGAGCCTGAATTTCTTGTATGAAACACATATTTATGCTAGATGCACTGAAACTGAAAGGTGTGCATTTTAATACAGGAAAAGAAAACATAAAGCTACTTAGGAGAAGACAATATCTTTTTATTCCCAGGGTAATTCAAATTGAATTGTTTTGGAAGGGGAAATGGCCTTTACAAATCCCTTCAGTTATGGTATAGCTATACAGTAAATCCCTTCAGTCTTGAATGTGCTGCCTAGCTCTTGGTAAGACCTGCTTCTGTGGCCATTTCTGAAGGCAGCAGACCAGCTTAAATTAACTTAAAAAATGGTGGGTTGTTTCTCTTTGATCCAGCAGGCGCTTCTGTTCAGAATGAGGAGGGAATTGGTTTTGCCAGTCCCTCTCTCCCAATGCAGCCCCCTACCACCACCTCTTTATTGATCCCTTCTGTTCTCATTTGTGGATTTAATTCTTCCTAGGGTCAGAAGAAGCTCAGTTCTATGCCTTGCGAACAGCGAAAGCTTTGGCAATGACTGCTTTGGATGTTGTTTTCAAGCCAGATCTGCTGGAAAAAGTCAGAGAAGACTTCAGACTGGTGAAACTCAAAGAGGAAGGTTACTTGAATATCCCTGAAAATGGAAAGGTGTCTGGTCTTGGTATCGGAGCAGCATGTGCATCACGTTGAAATAGTACAGCATATTACAAATCTAAACACGAAAGAACGTCAAATTTTTTTCCTTGGAATTCTAGGAAATGTTTAATAGCTGGAAAGATGCTTGATATTTTAAGTGGTGCAACTAAGCGACCTCAGAGTACTTTTAAAATATTGCTATTATCTGATATCATGTAGTGGTCTTAATTTGGCAGACAAAATGAGTGATTTCTCTGCAGTGATTGAAAATGTGCTGAATATTGCAGCTTTGCATACTTTTGGAAAAACTTTTTAAATGCTATTTACTCTGGTTGGAAAGGAATGTTGGGTTGTCTTCATAGCAGCTGTTCTCTTGCCAAGGAATAGTGAGAAGTGTTGCATGTTTAGCTTATTGTATGCAGAACCAAATGCAATCCACCAGGACAGGCTTAATATGCTTCATAAATCTATATGTATTTGAACTGAAGATACCAAAGGTTAGGTGATGGTTGTTCAAGATGTGCCTAGACTTTCACATTAGAATGGTTTTTCACTCAGTATCTCACGGTCTTTGGTAGCTCAACACTTGAACATACCACACTTTCCTCTTTCGGCCATCTAAATTTTTCTAGAAGGACTATCCTTGTAATCACTTGATGTTTATAGGTGGGCTCCTGACCTCTTGTTCTGCACAATTTCCAAACGCTGTGTATCCTTTAGTAGTTTTGTGCATAGTATAGAATTATACAGCATACAGATACACCAGAAGAAAATAACTTTATAAATGAGTGTCCAGGAATAGCTTTTAAAATGAAACCCAAAACTGAGTTTCTTGTGAAAATTCTTCCTATTTGACACAAATTAAGCAATCACATTGAAGGAGAAGTTAAAGCAGTAGGTAGGGGGTTTGTTTGTTTTTAAGGGTACTGTACAGAATCAAAGAAATACTTGTGCAAACCTGGTACATGAACCCTGCTTTACTGTCTTATTTATGCATAGCTGCATTTTGAAAATGAATGGCTCCAGTCCATTAATGTAGCTGCTGTACAAAGTAGATTGGTAGAACTTATGTTTCAAATTCATTTTCCTTTCTGAAATAGAATTGTCTATAATTTTGTCAGTTTCGCCACCAGTTAATCCCCAGGACCCAAGATGTGTACATTGATGACAGAGATGAGTTGAAGAAAGGGGTGATGAATCCTATGGATGTTCGAGTTGATACCCAAGTATTTTGGGTGAGCCTCAAATGCATTTGTAAAGGCTAAACGTTGCCATTGTGAGTTGGGTCAGCAGTAGTGGACTGTTTGGGGGCTCGTATGTTGTCTTTCGAGGCAGAGAAAATAGATGTGCTTTTTTCTTCTGCGGAACAAGCAAAAGATGGTGAGAATGTGAATTCTTGGGGCCTTTGGCAGGTAAAAGGTACTTCTCCTGTAGGGGAGGAATGTGATCCTGTATGGGTTGTCTCTGCCCCTCTCTCCACTGGTAGGAAGGAAAACTTTTCTTAGAGAATATACCTGGGGCAGGGACAATCTCCTATCTCCATTTCCTGCCAACTCCACTGCAGATCATCAGTCAGCTGCCCAAGGTATAGCAAAAGAGAAGTGGCAGGAACTCTTGGAAGGGATTTTCCTTTGTTCTTTGTTCTATTCCTACTGGAGTAGCTGGACCTGACATTCGGAGGCATTTTAGACAACTCACAAGTACTAACTTGTGTGGTGTTGTGGTTAAGAGCGGTATACTCGTAATCTGGTGAACCAGGTTTGCTTCCCCGCTCCTCCACATGCAGCTGCTGGGTGACCTTGGGCTAGTCACACTTCTTTGAAGTGTCTCAGCCTCACTCACCTCACAGAGTGTTTGTTGTGGGGGAGGAAGGGAAAGGAGAATGTTAGCCGCTTGGAGACTCCTTCGGGTAGTGATAAAGCGGGATATCAAATCCAAACTCCTCCTCCTCTTCTAACTAGGCTGTCTAGATTATTCTTTGCCTATGATAAGATCAGCTGTCTTCTAATCAAGCTGGTCTTTGTATTTGGCATACATTAATCTACACACCAAAATTGACTTGAAGTACAATCCTTTGCATGTCTATGCAGAAGTGACTCCCATTCAGTTCAATGGGGTTTACTCCCAGGAAAATGCTGCAGGATTGTAGCCATAATTATGTGACACACCACTGCCTAAGCTGCATTAGTGGTATCATAACGTACCACTGCCTGTTACTTAAACTAATAGTAGATAAACATATCTTATGCTGAAAGAAAACACTAATTTCCTGTCCTCTTAAGCATAATGTGAAATTTCCTTTGTAAGTGTTGTAGGGAGCAAACTCTGCACAGAATTTTGTATTCTAGAACAATATAAATGCTGTCTTTATGCCTGCTTGTTTGCCTAAGCAATATTCTCTTTGAGGGTCAAATACTTCCATTATTATGTTGTTATTTATTTTTTTGTCTTGCCTTTCTTCTCAATTTTTACCTGTAAGTTGGTCCAGTAAAAAAGGCTATTCACATTTTGCTGAGTCGGTTACAAAAGCTCTGCTGGTTTAAATGAATATATTACATTATTTTTATTCATAAACAGAAAGAATTGTAGCAAGTTTAGCAGAACTTAAGGTATATGCATTTCTGACTGACGCGCACACATGCTCAAATGCACAAATCTATCTAGGGAGAAACAGATGTATATTTTGTACATCACCTGTAGAAACTGTTCTGAAGACAACATTTTGAGCTGCACATTTGAATGTTGGAATGTTTTGCAGCAAATTAACATCCATTAGCAAGCACTGGAAGACCGTGTTAGGAAATTATTAACCACAGCACTTATTTTTTCCCACCACCACCAGTGCTGTAAGAAGAGAAGCAGTTTTCTTTTTACCAACGTACAGCTGTTTCCCCAAATGTTTCACTGTCCTAACTTGCCAGGGAACAGAAATCATACACAGCTGAATCATGGGCTAGTTAGTAGGGATAGCAAATTTCAGTATGCATAACTGTATCAAACTTATGCTTCAATACTTTGATCCTGTTAAGAGTTGGGTCAACTTCAAAAGAAAATATTAATCTTACCATGCTGTATTTAGTATTTCAACTTCTTTCATCCAATTAAACACAGTTTTTGCAATAACTCTTCACCTTTTCAGAAGAGGGGGAAAGGCTCTGGAAAGTTGTTTTTCCCTCTAGTAAGCAAGGGCAAGTTGTCCTCAGTGGGATTTGGAGCTGATCAGTACTTGCACTGAAAGGATCAGTGTCTCTTAAGGGTCTTGTTATGTCTCCTCATTCAACTGTGTAAGCTTTGCTTCTGAAAACATTAGTACCAAAGGTGAACTCGATATTTTATTGAGCTCAGGGTTATTTCTGCTCCAACCATATAGCTGTGCAAGTTGCTGCCTAAGCAGGATGCGAGCAAGATACATTGACTGGCTTCTATTTTCTTGGAGAATGCTGCATATTTCTGATAGTCTTTTAAAAACCTGGCAAAGACTCCTGTTATAGCTTCATAACTTGCTAAAATTGCAAACTCAAAAGGGTTGGATCCAGGCGTGCCACTTGACATGCACAGACTGGAACTAACCCAAAGGTTGCAAGACAGCATGGTTAATGTTGTTATGGACCCATTGGTCTTGGATTGTTGCTCTGAGTGTTCTGTAATGAAAACTTGCTTAGGTGGCAACCGCTGAACAGTGTCATGGGCATTATTTCAATATTTTTCTTACTATTCCAAACTTGATTCCTTAGCAGAGGCCTACTTTGCAAGGAGATTTTGGCTGAGACTTTTAGTGGTAGAAGCCATCCCAACCATACTGTATTCCTTATCTGAACATGAAAGAAAAGAGGGAAATTGATTTATTGTGAATTCCTGTGTTTCTTGCATGGTTTTTAATATCACAGTTTTAATTTTGTTTTGTTTTTTAAATATATGCATAAATGTTATTTGACAGATCAAACAGCTGGAATCTTGCTACTGTCCTGGGAGAGTACAATTTACCTTTTTTCTGTTTACAAAGCACAATCCAGTGAGAAAAAACCATCAAGCTGCAAGCCACATGGATTGCGCAGCAGTTGCTTTAAAGCTCAAGTGTCAGGAAAAGATCTGGTCTAAGCATAAGGCTACCTGGGTTTCTGGCCAGGCCCATGATCATTGACGGTTGTTCTTCATAGCCCTCCAGGGGCTGCGAGGAAGTTCAGGCAGGGGAAGGAGAGGATTTATGCAATTGTATTAAATTATAGTAATTTTGTTTGATTTGTAATAATTTGGAAAATGATAAAAACAATACGATAAACATAAGGCTACCTGGAACCATTTATGCAGCCGCACTCTCATATTAAAAGGGTCTTCTTGAATGTGAGGCTATCCATGCGCAGCATTAGCATGCCATGCCATGCCATGCCAGCAACCAATGATCAGAGAGGAAGTGCTTTGCATAGGCCTCTTGCACGGATCATTGCTGCATGGGGCACCTGTAGGGATATACGATTTCCATGTGGCATGTTGAAATTGTGGGTTAGAGACTGTATCTGAGGTGGCTGAACTTTATGTCTTTTCTTTGTAAGATCAGACGGGTTGGTGTTTGATTTCTTTTGTGTGCGGGTGAGTTGCTAAGGCAGTAAGTCCCATTGGTTTATAATTTCAGAACGCCTTGTCCAGTAACGTTAGTTTTGTTAGTACGCCATTGTTTATTTCTGTTAATAATGCTGAGGCTTTCTTTACAGTTCTGATTCAGCAGTTATGCAGTGATTCTGTATGCCAGGTTGGACAGACTTTTTGCCAAGTAAGCCATAAGTAAAGTCTGAAGCGTGAGTGCCATTTTTGTATATTCCACAGGACGTATACGGCTCCCCCTTACTAGGAGGTGGCTTTTCATCTAATGTACCAAACTAGATAGTGTGCGCTTCATCACTAGCGCCATTTGTGGCCTCTTACACAATGCACTGCTAAATCCTAGGGTTTTGCACTTTTGCTGTAACCTGAATTAACAAGAAAAGGCAACTTTTTCACTGCTTCCTTAAATAGCATGCAACTTTACAGTAGACAACAGTTATTCTTGGATCTTAAGTAGGACAAGGACACCAGACAAACGTTTTAGTCAACATTACTTTTAGGCTGCAAAGCTGTTGTAAAGGCATATTTGCTTTTTAGTGTCTTGGCTATTGCTGCTGCACCAAATCTTGTATGCTGTTGAATCTATATATTCAGTTTTGAAGAATGAAGAGCCTGCAACAGCAGGTTGGTAAAAATGTATATGTAGCTGGGATGGTGAATTTACTTGAACAAATGTAACAGCAAACATGCACAAGTATATCTCAAGAGTTGGTGGTTTTCCTTTTTTTATACCATCTAAGGGTTATCTTTGCAAGTGTAATGTTTTGCAGTGAATTCAGGTATTTGAGGAAAAGATACATTCAGGGGCTGAAGCAGCTTCCTGTGCCATCTGTACACAGAATGTTTTGTTTGAATAAAAACTTGAGCTACACTATAAACTATTGCTATAAAAGTACTTTTGCTAAACGTGTTTTATGATTTTCTAGTGAGCCACTGTTGATGCTATCACTTGGTTTTGTACATTCAGCTTTCTTGGTATGCTGTGTGTAAGTACATTCTGGATTGTAAGAATAAAATTGACTTGCACATTCTATTGTGTTTCTCAGGTATATCCTAATAAACAAATACGCTACTTAAACATAGGAAGAGCCTGGTTAAAGTTAACGAAGACTGCTCATTGTGATAGTTTGGCTGAAGCTGAGAAATTGAGTCCCAGAGAATGCAAAACTATAGGAACTTTAAGGGACAAAACGGAAAAAGTAAGATAAAATAACACTCTTTGGGGATTATGCCTGTGATGTTGGTTTGAGAGCATCATTTAATCAGGCAGGGCAGCTTGCCAAAGAAAGGAATTTGCAATAATTTATTAAATACTCAGCAGCATTCCACATTGTCAAAGGTTACCTGCTGTCAGCTGAATAACCCATAAAGGCAAGAAGATTTATGCAGCTGTATCTTTTTAAAATGTTGAATATTTATCCCCTCTTAATAATTGCTAGAGGCCACTTACAAGGGAACTCATAAAACAGACCATCAGAATAGAGATTGTCAACAAAACTAACTAAATGTCTATCTACGAAGTAGCACCACGTGATGATTTAGATGTCACATCAGATAGTAATAAGGCTCCCAGCGGTTTACAGAAACTTGCAAAAAGAGGACTTCCAGAGCTTTCTAAATCTCTGTTGAGGAAGCACATTATGCCTTACATTAAGGCTATTTCATTCATTTATTTATCATTTAACTTCTCTGGGTGAAAGTTTAAAATAATTTAAAAGCATAAACGGTATGCTCCATTATGAAACAGGCTGGAAACTGCCAAATAATGGAGTATAAATCTCTAGAAATGCAGCAACACACCCCTACCTGGCTGATCATCCTTCACTAAATCCTGTAAGGCCTACAGTACGAATTTTTCAACTGAGCAGCTCAACATACTCTGTGGTGTTTTTTTTGGTAGCCAGAATGCGCAAGAGAGCAGTTCTGGCACCTCTCAGGTGGGTGCCATTGTGTGCTGGCATGTCCCTGCCTGCTTCTTGCCTTTACCCACTTCTGAGAAGTGCAAAACAAACATTTCAGGTTAAAATGGAAGCTGGCCAGCATGTGCGAGTCTACACTTTTTTTTAGATCTATGCACCTAGCCCAGCCGCAATTGGTCAAGCTACGGGGCAGGGTCAATTCATATTTCTTCAATCCATCCTTTGTGTAGCTGCAGGAGTAGACTTTAATCTTTCCAGCTAGGCGTCTACCGTTGCACACACAGACGTTTGTGCGAGGGCCCTTCTGAGCTGCCCTAGCCACCCACCTGAATCTGAAAGATCGAGGGAGGTGGGAGCGCATTTATTTGACGTGCACCAGAATCGGGTGACCCACAAACCAGGTAGGGAGACAGCTTGCCTGAAACCCTTCTAATTCCTGGATCCAGCACGGATTCAACATTCCTGGTGATGTTATGGCCTTCTAAGTATGGGCCATCAAAGTAACAAAGGAAGTGGCTCTGTGCCAGATAACAAATGGATAGTTAGAAAGACAAAAGACAGGGTTCAAAGTTGAGTGTGTACGAGCTAGAAGTTAGGCTAAAGGGTCGCTGGCAAAGTTTGCTTCATGCACCCTCCCCGTTCCACCCTCAGCAAAGTGAGCCAACCGCAGAGGATAGTGGCATGCCTGAAGGAGCTGAGGCGGCAGCAGAGATGCCGCCGGTCCCACTGCTGTTGCTGCAACCACCACTGCCACCCCTCTGCTTGGGCTACTTCTGTGACTATGATGCATTCATTTTCCAAGGGCAATGAGGTATGCGATGATGATGATGATGATGATGATAGCAATTATGTGTTTCCATTAATTTAGCTCAGTGAAGCTTTCTGGGTATGTTGCTAAACTAATAAATGCATGCTTCTTTTTCGACCTTTAAATGTCACTGAGAAATTCTGGTGCTTCTTAGTTGCCTAGTGAGAAGTTAAGCTTTCTTCTTGTGTAGTGATGCTTGTCTGCCTTAGCCATTTTGACAGATGAAGTTTAAAGGTCAAATTGAAAATCTTACCTGCTCAGTCCTGAGTTCTGCAATGTACTGACCACTTGAGATGTGTCGCCAACCATTTTCAATCTTGCCTTGTGCTTTTATAGTGAGATGTTCATTCCAGCAAAAACCACCAAGAGCTTGTAATGTATTAAAATCATTTTCAGTCTTGAACACACGACTCGGTTTGTTTATAACAGTGGACCTCTTGAGCACCTGAGATGTGCAGAAACACTGTACTGTGTTCTCTTAACATAGTTTTTATAAAAATTGCATAAAGGTGCCTAGATAATCCTTTCTTGGAGATACAGTAAAGTTTTCTAACATTTCTGAACTAAAATCTGTTAGACTATATACTTAAACTGGAAGAATTCCATAGGCCATGAAAATTTTAAAAAGACCTTTGTGATCCTGCTTGTTAAGCTATGATGCTGCATATGATCTCTCTTGCAGACTAATTTCGATTGCTTAATAATTAGAGTATTATCAAAGGTTACTTTATAAACACAATAGTTTAAATTGCATTCCTGCTTTAGAAACTGTTTTCCATGTCAATATGCCTCAATATGAGAGAGGCACAGGCAACATCCCTGGTAGCTCTGTGAAAATTCCTGTGGAACCTCTTGTAGGACATGATATCCAATGGCAGTCATACTCTGAGTAGACCCATTGAAACCAACAGCTTTAATTTAGTTAATCCATTGATTTCACTGCATCTAATCTGATTAACATTGGGTCTCACCCAGGATATTCAGTTTGGGTAAATGTTCAGTAAGTGAGTGAGTTTAATCAATGTTATTCCTAATATAACCAACTGGGCATCCTGATAAGGAAAACGGTGTAAGAACCTTGTAGGTCCCTGACTTTCCTTAGAGGGTGACATCAACAAGTGACTGATTAGCAATAACACACACACATGCCTGTAAGCCAAAAAAGTAGATGTTTTTACTTGAGAGGAGTCTTGATGGTAAAAGTGTACAGTACACTGTTTAGATTTGCAATTTACACTTAAATAGATAATTTTACAATATTATATATATTTACAAACTGAAACAAAAATATTAACATGGTCCATCATTTCTGTAATTGGAACGCAGATGTGCTCTAAAATTCCTCTTCCCATCATAGCGACACTGTTACAATATTCTGTACTTTAAAAATGCCTATCACGTATTGTCTTTTGAAATAAAAGCATTTGTCACTTTGCAAATTTTCATTCCTCCCTCTCCCCCCTTTTTATTGTTTTGATTGACCATGATGGCCATTTTGAGGCCTGGTGAAACTGACAGTTCAGCAGAGATTTCCACTTAGGTCTCAGTATAATAAATCGGAGAGTGCATTGTGTGAATTTCATGTAACAGGAGTATCGAACAGTCTCTATTGTCACATTTTCTTGATGGACATTAATTTCATACAGTTAACACATGTCCCACCCACATGGAAACTGGCTAAAGAAATAACTATGAAAAAATGGACCAGTATATCAGGTTAAATAAAATGTATGCACCTGGAAATATTATTCTGGAATACTTGTCAATGGCGTGTGTATCAATCCTCATGCTGCTGTATCTCTGGTTTTTCCTCCTGCTTGAATTCCTTTCTGAGCCAAGTGCCAGCTGAACCATCATTCGGTCTTGTTTATCTCCATTTTCAGACACATACTGTCCCAGTTCATTCACCTCCCCGTCACTATAGCTGCCATCCATCCCCATCAGTTGCCTTGACTGAGGTATTGTACAAGTGCAAGGAAGCTGTAGAGGAAAGAAGGAAGATAGTTGTACTCGGGGAAAACTGGCAGTTGACATATTGGAGTGGAGCAATAATGCAGCCTTAAGCTGTTGCTTCTGTCACAAATCCATAGGTGAGGACTCATCTCATCTAACCACAGTTTCTCTTATCTGGCTATGATTTCCTGCATTATTAGTAGCCAGGATAGCTGATATAAAGGTAAATTTGTGAAAATACACCATACTAGATTTTGAGTTGGCTCTTCCAAATGGTGAACAGATACATGCTCGCAGAATGGGACCCTCTATTATTATTATTATTATTAGAATTAATATACTGCCCTATACTCTAATGCAGCTGAGGAAAGGGTGGAAATTGGGGCACCTCCCCACTTTTGCAAGTGCTTTTCTGTTAATAGAGGGCACCATGGAACCAAGCCACATTCAGGCTCATTCTATCCAATATGAGATAGTGTGCTTGTGTAGGCTGTATAGCATGAGCATTAAAATTCATGTGAAGAAACTAATGGTTTTTCCAGACCATCCTTCCTATAGTGAGTGCAGTGTTCATCGCTGTGCCAAGACAGCTGTGAAAAATGTGATTTCCATACTAGGAAATGAATTGAAAACTAGTGGGAGCCCACCAAACTGAATGAGTTTAAAAGAAGATTAGACAAATTCTATAAACAGCTACCAGCCACGATGGCTATGTTCCACCTCCACTGTCAGAGGCAACATGCCTCTGAATGCCAGCTGCTGGTAATCACTAGTGAGGAGAGTGCTGTTGCAGTCAGGTTCTGTTTTGGGGCTTTCCACAGGCATCTCGGCCACAGTGATAACAGGATGCTGGCTATTAACCTGATCTAGCAGGCTGCTCTTAACATGGAAACATTCAGAGGTGGCATAGTGAGCTGCACCATTTCTACCTTTTTTAAAAAAGTTAATATTTGGGCATCTCATGTTGCATGTGTAGATCCAACCCGAGTAAAAAAACCAAAAACTGGTTTGAACATACCCTTGGGTAGAACACAGTTTTACTGTTAGACCCCCATTGTGTGTGTGTGTGTGTGTGTGTGTGTGTGTGTGTCTGTCTGTCTGTCTGATTCATCTTTAGAATCTACACAGCCAGTGCTGGTTTTCCAGGGGGTACTCAAGGGTACGCAGTACAGACACCTCTTTTTTTGTTGTTAAAAAGTGTGGCACTTACTGTAATAACTTCATGGTGAGTACCAGCACCTATTTTTCTAGGGGGGGGGGGAGCACCGTACACAGCCATTTTATCTGCACAGCACCAAATGACGTTACATTTACCTTGTCTCGCAGCTTCCGTTCCTTTCGCTCTTGCACTGTAGTCAAGTAGTTTACTGCTGCGTACTCTAACACCGAAAGGAAGACGAACACAAAACTGACCCAGAGGTAAATGTCCACAGCTTTGATGTAGGAAACCCGAGGCATAGAGGCATTGACGCCCGTGATGATGGTAGACATGGTCAGCACCGTCGTGATCCCTGGAGACATACAATAATCCGTTTGGAGATGTCATTTTGGTGACAAGTTGGCTTTGTTTACCCTAAACAGAGGGCCAAGTGTTTCATTAAGAAATGAAATGCTAGCTTGAGGTGGGCTGCTCTACCTTCTTTGAATGGTGTGCTATCATCTTCCATGCTGTCACCTTTCTCTGGTTGTGGCCTGGTGCAAATTGTGTGCTGGATTGCATGAGCTGATGCATGGATGACCTGTGGGCTGATGGTACAGCCCTTGGACACAGATTTAGACCAAGGCTGCAGTCCTAAACATATTCACTAGGGAGTAAACTGCACTGAAAATGTTAAGTTGTGGGGGAACATATCAGACGACACAACGATTCTTCAAACAGCTCTTGTTTATTCACAAGCCAGAACAGAACTGAGCTGAAGGGTTCAGCCAGTCTGCTTATATAGAGCTCCACTACAACGCAACAGTAACCACTTTCTGTAACTATCCAATCACTGAATGTCACTTTCAATCCCTTATTTGCATATGTGGACCTGAGTGAAAACTATCTAGACTATCCCCCTGCTGGCCCATGGTGAGAACTTCAGTACATAACAGAAAGCGCTGAGGTTTACTTCTGGGTTGGATTGCAGTGCAGACCAGGAATCCAAAGCACAATTACCTAGAGGCCTCATTTAACTTAGAATCAGTTCTCTGCAGATTGTGCTGTAAACTATTCAGTCTCGCAAGGAAGGATGGATAAATCTGACTTTCCAGTTTGTTTCACACGTTTTAAATCTAAGCTATGATTACATTCTGTGCCACTTCCGCATTCCATTTGAAAAGTATAAATAATTATCTAAAGTACAGGACATTCCTACATATTTAAGTTATGGATCAAAATAGCGGTGATGCACAACAAGAAGGATGACCACAAAATGTGACAATCTGAAGTCACAGTAGTGCATAATTACCTCTTAGCCAGGGGCCACAACCCTGTATTCATTACCAATCAATTAATATTGGTCAGAACCAAATAGCTTTGCATATGCAGTTTAATCACTGCTGAAAGTGTGAGTGCAGTGACCACTTTATATCCTATCCCTTTGAGTGAAGACTTTTCATCATTTACGTACGTCAGCAAAGAAAGATTTCCCTGCTTGGGCTTTAACAGAATCCTGCTTTGTGAGAGAAAGAGCAAAAGGTCCAGGAGCTAATACCGTCTCCTTTGGAGTCTATGATGTCACATGCAGTGCTGCAAATATACACTACTCAAACTCTCTCAAGATACTACACCATAAACCCCTGCCTATTTCCTAATGGGCATGAATTCATTGGACTCTGTGTAGGCTAGATAATACAACTGTAACATCAGAAGCAATGAATTGGGAAGGGAAGAGAGAACTAGGAGATCCAAATGCAAATTTAATAAATAATAATCAGAGAAGATAATCACAGCTATGCCTACCGATGGAGCCACTGAAATGTTAAAATATAATTTTCCACTCAATGCTTCATACTCTGCAAATATTACTGATATTATTTCTCTATTTTACATTGCTTTCTGAGCATTTAGCTCAGAAAAGTGACTAATACATAAGCAATTCTTAGCCTATTTCTACAGTGCCATCCATGAATGTGGATGCATCCAGGCCTCCACCTGCCATAGACCCCCATGGCCAGCTAATACTCCCCCAGCAAATAGGAGAAGGGAGTGAGAAACAGTCTCAGACATTGCAACGTCACCTGCTGTTCAGAGAGACCCTCCTGGATTGGCATTGCTATAAAAAGAGCAGGTCAGACACAGCGAGGTTTGGTTTGTTTACCTAAGGGAACTCTTGCAGGCACAGCTCTGCGGTCTATCCAAAAGGACACCCAGGACAGCATGACCATCAGAGTGGCAGGGAAATAGGTCTGGAGTAAGAAGAAGAAGATATGCCGGCGTAAAGTGAAGTTGATGTAGAGGCGGTTGTACCAGCCTACAGGAGACAAAGAAGGTAGAAGTCAATCACAAAAGCCCACATCCACACCGTACATTTAAAGTGATCTTGTACCACTTTAACAGTCATTGCATTTTCCCCAAAAATCCTGGGAACTGTAGTTTATGAAGGGTGCTGACCTCGTATAACTACAACTATCCAAACGTTTTGCACACCTTAGATGTACTCCTCAATAACAGAGACTTCAAAACAGCAGTCCCCAAAGATGACTACCATGTTGTTTGCATGGTGGTGGTAATCATCACTTGGTAGCAATAGTACTTTGAAGCTTTTACTGTACAGCAACTCCTTTCTAAACAGCCTTTTCGAAAAGCAGTTGCTACAGGATGAGATTATCACCCTGTTAATAATAAGCTCTTTGAATTAACCCCATACCAAAGATACTGGGTTACAGCATTGTGCATAAACCCAAATTTGGGGTTCAGCAGCACAATCTGGCATCGGCTGCCGAGCCCTTTGCAGGGAAGACAACGTGTGACATGATGCCACAGCCTCTCTGGCAAGTCCAAAGACAGTTTCTCCAAGTTGCGATCAAACCTATTTCCATAAAAATCGATAATAATTGAGCCTTGTCCAGGCTTTATTGTCAAAATTCACTCACCTGTGCTGCTATAAAAGGCAAGTTTGGTGGTAGTGTGAAACTCTTGTATGAGGAACTGGGATAGCGATATCCTCTCATCTGTTTTCAGGGAGTCGTTGCCATTCTTCCAGTACAGCATGAGATCATCTTCAGTGTAAGCATCTAGAGAGGGAGGAAATATTAACTCATTTATTGTAATGAAGCCAGTTGGCACTGTGGCCTAAGTCGCGTACCGAATGCTATCTTACTGTCAACAGATATACACCATATAGTCCAGTGACAGGATTTTATTTTCTATTTAATATGAGCTCTTATTTACTTTTCTCTCATTTAAGTGAATAGCTGCTGTTGACATATATGAGAATAAGGAAAGGACCTGAGAGCAGACTCTTTAACATCAATGTTGGGGGGTGGAGGACATGTATTGCCTCTGCTTCTCCGCAATTCCCAGTTTCACCTCTGAAAATATCATCCACTTCTTTTTTAATCAAGTGAAAGCAAAAGGTGGGCAGCTGTTAATTTACAAATTTTTACATTAATAATTTTACTTACTACTTTTTTTGCACAATGCTTTACGAACCCAGTAATTAGCCACAACAAGAGATAAGAAAACAAGGGACACTGTACTGTCTGTAGATTGTTTGCTGGAGTATAAGCAACATTTTTTTAAAAAAACAAACCAATATAATTATTATTTTAGGCCCTCATCATCCAATCTAGTCTATTTTAGGCCCTCGTCATCCAATCTAGTCACAGACCTGCAAGGGCCATGACTAGCAGGGGCAATAGAGGAGGGAGTTTGTACTCGGTCTCCTTTTGCAAGAGGGCTTTACTGAAATTAAAGTAGTCACAGAGAAGAAGCAGGGTGTTTGTTCCTATATCTTTGTAAGCAAAAGAAAAAAGAATTGTTGGACAATTCATTGTGAGCTGTGCTCACTCTTCTTAGGGCAGCAGTACCAATTATGCGCGCACAGCACTCATGCTGAGGTTGCATAATTTCTCCAGCACACAGCTATGGAAAGCACAGGAACACCCTTTCAGAATAAAAGCACACAACCCCTATTTTGAAACAAAATGTGAGGCATCAGCATTCGGCCTTCTTCAGAGATCCCGTTTACTTACAGCTTTCAATTTCCAGTGAACACGTTTGTGTGTCAAGGGGAAAGCGACTAAAATCCATGTTACACATAGCTGTTACAGTAACCCTAGAAACAGAATAAGCATATTTAAAATGCCTTCCTTTTACATGATTAAAAAGCCACATATTTTAAAAAGAAAACACAAAGCAGGAATAATGCACGTTAGATGCATGCCTAGTTCGTAACACTTTCACATGTTTCAAGTCCGTACAATTCTTTATATATGGAGAAGTAATTCCTTTGCATTCAACTAGGCTCACTTCCTAAGGCTATAGTCCTCTGCACACATACCTAGGAGCAGGGGCGCCAGCTCCTGGGGACCAAGGCACTGTGGGGACCCCTATCTCTTTTTTGAGAGGGTGGGGCCCACTCAATATTCAGAGGGCCCTATGCACGACGTCAGGACATTGTATGATGTGTGTGACATCAAGATGTTGCTTCGGGCCCCCTCAATCATTTGGAGAAGCTGGTGCTTCTGCCTAGATGTCCCAGTGATTCAGAGGAAGTACGTCTCATTCAACATGCACAAGGTAGGCTGTGTTGACTCATGGGGTCTTACTTCTGAATTAACAGGTCTGGCTTGCACTGAAAAGAAGTGAACCAGATTTGTGGTGGGAGGTACCCTGCTGACTTAGGAGCAAAAAAGGGTTGCCTTACACAAACCAAACTTGGCACATGTGAATCCCCAAAGCAGGACAACACCCAGACAACACTGTCAGGAGACCTTTGCCATTCTTGACTTTTGTTAAAAGTTGTGAAATTGACTGATAACAAACATTATGCTTACTTATCTCGAGTGAATCTAACCCCTGACATTCCAGCATAAGGTCCACTGCTGAGCTCTGGAGGACCCTTGCCCTGCTTCTCCTCCTTGCTGTTGCTATTGCTAAATCTGCAAGCAGTGACAAATGCAAAAGAGAAGGAACAGCAGCATCTCATTTTGGGCGGTGTGAAGAGTGGGCCCAGAGGGAGACCCAAGGGAATGGGCAGTGATGGCCGTGGCAAAGGAGAGGGTCCCCCGAGAGCATCGTTCTCAAGGGCCCCTCTAAATCTGAAGCTGACAATGGCTCCGTCCACCAGATGACTCCACATACACAAAGTCATCTGTTATTCTGAACTTGGATAATGTTAGTGGCACACACTTGTGATACGTCTTGATCTGGGTTACACCCACTGAGAATTCATGCACACAGCTGTATAAGAAATGAAGTCAGCATACTTGCAGAAGCTCAACCAAGCATTTTTGTGGATTTCACCTTACCTCAAGCTGTAAAGCACCTTCCCATCTGGCTGGACCCGGAGCATGACGTTATCTGTGGTGGTGTCATGGATAAAGGATCGTTTGGAATGCACAAAGAACATATCCGGCACCCAGATCTTTTTCACTAGTCTGCCATCAAAGGTCATGCTTTGGTTGTTGGTACTTGGAAACGATAGCCTTTCATCTTTCCAGTAATGTCTAAGGTAAAGTGTCATGGTGAAGTCCTAGCAAAAGCCAGAAATTGAGACAAGGAAAAATTAATTCACATTAAAAAGGTAAAGGAAAAGGACCCCTGACAGTGAAGTCCAGTCGCAAACGACTCTGGGGTTGCAGCGCTCATCTCGCTTTACTGACCGAGGGAGCTGACGTTTGTCCACAGACAGTTTTTCCAGGTCATGTGGCCAGCATGACTAAGCCGCTTCTGGCGAAATCAGAGCAATGCACGGAAACACCATTTACCTTCCCGCCGAAGCGGTACCTATTTATCTACTTGCACTTTGACGTGCTTTCAAACTGCTAGGTTGGCAGGATAAATCACATTACTATTTTTTAATCCATAAATATTTCTTAGTCCAATGTAATAAAGGAAATAAGTTTTACATTGCAATTGTAAGATTCAGGTAGAATGGCAAAGACATCCTACAAGTGTTTGGCTGCCCCCGTTCCATAGTTAAAGATGTGCTGTCTTAAATACATTTTTGCCATTGGAATATTGGACTGGATTTGAAACTAATGTACAAATCCATGTCTTAGGTCATACCCAAACCATACATTTAAAGCATTCTTAAACCAATCTAACAGTCATGGTGCTCCCTCCCCCAAGAATCCTGGAAACTATAGTTTGTTAAGAGTGCTGGGAATTGTAGGTCAGTTACCAGGATTCTTTGGAGGAAAAAAAGTGGTTAAAGTGTGTGGTGTGCATGCAGCCTAAGTGTTTTCCACTCAGTAATCTCTTTTCCCACTCCTAACGTGATGTCTGTTTTTCAGAGCAGCCCATTCCATAAAACCTCTTGTTCAGAAAGAACAACCATTCAAACATGGGCATGACACTTACCATGTCAACCTCTGAAATACTGTCCAAGCTTTCAACTTGTACATCTACTCCAACAGGAATGGCAGGGCCTATAAGAAACACAGAATGCAACGCATCAGAATTGTTTATATGTTTTTAAAAGAGAACATATGAAGAAGTAATTTGCAGTAGGGCTCTCACAAAGAAGGCAAGCATGCAAAATGGTTTGCTGGCTGCCATGTCTAAGGACACAGGCAGTTACTGCACAGCAAAGGACTCCAAATCATACCTGGGTTATTTGTCATTAGCTGCCAAGAAGTAACTTAGGGGTGAGCTGAACCTTCTAACAACGAAACATTAACATTAAAGAGAAGCACACAGTTGCTAGGTGAGATCACAGGCCATTTGCACCTCTGGGCTGGTTCCCAGGCAAACTAGAGGCCTTCAAAGACCAGAGGTCTTCAGATGTTTTAGACTACACTGCAATGCTGGCTGGGGCTGATGGGATATGTAGTCAAAAACATCGGAAGAATACCAGGTTGGCAAAGGCTGGTTTAATATGGAGCAGGTAAACTATGCATTGTGTTTTTCCTTAACTAATTAGAGAGGTGGGAGAGCCTGATTCTCGCAGTGAAAGCAACACACAGGAGGCTTATCGTTTACTCCTCCAGCAAGAGAGGATGACGATTGAATGTGACACCCCTACTCACAAAGTAAGAAGCACTGGGGGTCCCCATGGGCAGACCAATATCTAAAAAGCCAGGACATCAAAAATGATAATGATATTGATATATACGCAAAACACTTATGGCTGATTCACACATGCAGGTTCATTACTTAGCTCTCAGTTAGGAACATAGGAAGCTGCCTTATACAAAATCAAACCGATGGTCCATCTAGCTCCGTACTGTCTACATAGCTGTGGCTCTCCAGGATGTTAGACAAAAAAAATTCTCCCAGCTCTACCTGGAGATGGCTGAGATTGCACATGGAACCTTCTGCATCCTAAGCAGATGCTCTACCATTGAGCTACAGTCCTTCCCCAGGTGCTATAACCACCTGTCTGCCTCCGTCAATAAGTTCCATGTTCAAGGAGAAGCAAGGAGAATACGAAAACATGGTTTGAGACATTTGGCACTTTGTACAGTCATGATGTTGCAGACACACTTGTTTGAACTCAGCCAAATAGGTGTACCACTTTCCACTTTTTATACTTAGGAGATAAATATTAGAATTTCAATTTCAGCAAAGATTATCTTAGTAAAATGCATACATAAATCCTCCTACATGAGTTAATAATGCAATTATAGAACATGAGATTTGCTAAAAGCATAAAGGTTGTTCATGAACAGTGCTGGACAAAAAAAACCAACAAACCCCCCCCAGCCTTTTACAACTAATTGAACTTGTATTGTGCATATTGCGCATGTAGTAACAATAAGCTTCCCTCATCAAGGGGTAAAATAGTACCGGTAGTTTGGATTTGAATGACCATCTGTCAGCCAGGAAAGGGTAGATAAATTACAACATTCTTTAATCTGGTGGGGCATAAGAAAGCATGTTTTCCTAATCCTCTGTCCTAAAAGCTTGGATTTTGTATAGCACGCAACCACAATGCTGGAAGTAAAACATTAACCTGGAGCAATCTAAAATATTCTTTCTGTAGTGAAAATGCTAGATCAGCAAAATGGTGCATTAGTTGATGATCTATTATACATATTACGGCCGGAGAACCATTTTCAATTTGATGGTTTTATTCCCTTCTGGGCAACATTCAAGGGGCCACATGGTGGTGGTGAGCAGGGCTGGAGATAAAAGTGGGTGGAGCAAGAAATGTAAATTTTACTCTTGTACAGTAGGCTAGTTTCTGCAAACACCCACAGGCCCCTCTGGGTTCTCCATCCAGGCAGCCAAGAGGCATTATCAGTCTTCAAAGGCACATTCCAGCCAGGCAAAAACACTCGAGAAGGGTATGAAGCCGGGCAGCTGAGAGGTGGGGCCTGAGGAGGGAGTGGGGCGTTAGGCAACTCCCAAAGGCCAGATAGGTAAGGCTTACAGGGCTGCATTTGGCCCCAAGGCCTGAAGTTCCTCACCTCTAAAATAAACGATTGTGCACGTACAGACACAGTTGCTGTGAAATAAAGCCTTGGGATTTCACTGCCATCTGCAGAGAAATACGACCCAACCAGGTAGTAAGGTTCAGCTTAATACCATGAAATTTATTTTTAATAGAAGGCATATCCATTTTTAGAACAGGCATGCCTATTTTTTTGTATTCTCAGGATTCTGTTTTTGTATACTCAGTATACTCTGCTCTATTCCTCAAACACTCCTCCCGTCAAAGTGTATTTTGCCAGTCACGCTTCTGGTCTTCATTTCAAATAAATGCTTATCCTGCAACTTCCTGGTGTTTGTGTAACAAATGTTATGGTGGGGTAGAGGGTTGTCCTGTTTCTGCCGCACTGTGGCTCTTTCAGACAGCGATAATATAATAGCATTGGGGAAAGAAAGCACAAAGAAAGTGGATTTAATCCAACATGTGCCACAGAATACATCCACAATAAAATACCAGTCTGGAGGGGTTCTAAGGCTTCCATTTATAATTTAAGTTTATGAGGGAATTGTACTTATCTGCACATAACATTGTACTTAAAAAAATATTCTCTGTCAATTCAGATAGCCCAATAAGCTTGCAAGAGATATGCTGCAGAAACAAACAAAAGCTCATTGTTCCTAAGCTTTTCAAAAAGGCAGCTGCCCATCAGTTAAGAGAGACGAACTAGCAAGCAAAGCCAAATAAATGTCACATTTAAACCACCATTCGTAATAACCCTCAAGCAAAGGGCAGTTCTTATGTTCTTATATGAGGAATATGATAGAGCCAAACTGAAGGCACTTTAGCGTAACAGGAGCGTTTACTGAGCTAAATAAGGTCACAGACATATTTGTGGCTTAATTTCAGTCAGGCGTCTGAACCTGTTTTAAAAACCAGAGCTGAGCCCTTCAATACGGAAATAAGAAAAAGTGCCACAGAAAATACTCTTCCCTATTGCCCTCAAAATACCCTTTTCCTCCCACATCTGGGATTAGCAGGGGAGGGCACTGATTCGCTCTCCTAAAAAAATATATTATTTGAGTTTTATCAAAATATAACCACTTCACTCAAGCAAACAAGCCACATCAGCTGCTTGTCACATTTCCCCCCCAGCCTCTGCGACCATCTGGTTTCATCCTTAACACAAGGGGGAGGAGCCTGTGGTACTCCAGGTGCTATTGGACTCCAATTCCCATCATGCCCTAGTATGGTCAATGAAGCAGGGAGTGATGGGAACTGTAACCTGACAACATATGGACAGCCACAGGTTCTCCACCCCGGCTTTAACAGCTTAATGGCAGGCAGGAATTCAATGTACACAGCTCTTCTCAGCATCAGGATGCAGCAATAGAGGAAGCTGCACTTATTACCGTATATTTCCGCCTGCCCTGGCGTTAACTAAATGCACAGTGACTCTGTGAGGGTAGTCAGGGCCGACCTACTCATGAGGTTGGCTGAGGCAGCACCTCAGGTGGCAGAATGCCAAGAGGCGGCCTACCCTTCCTGCTTTCTCCACCCCTGGCAGAGAAGAGGCAGGGGCACTAGCTTCCAGGGAGATCTCACAAGATCCTGTGCACTCCATGTGATCTTGCCAGAACCCGCCATCACTGCTGCTGCCACATGACCCAGGTAAGGGAGGCTTTGGTGATGCGGAATGACACCTTCCTGTTTTGCCTCAGGCGGCAAAGTAGGACGTGCCACTCCTGAGGGGAGTGCATGAAAGCTAAACTTCAGGGTTAAAGCAAGGGAATACCTTTACCTGTAGATATTGACTATTCCTATAGACTTCTTTTATTTAAGAAAATCACTAAGAGGTGTTTTTAAGAAAACACAGAGAGGAAAAGAGATTATCAACAGAAGTTTACATGTCATACCTCCAAAACCTGGCCGCATGCTGAAGTCATGGTCATCTATTCTCAGAAGTTGCTCTGACTTTGTAAGTGGTGATTTGGTGATATCAGGACTTCGTTTCAATATTGGACTATGTGGAGAAAGAGAAAAGCACAATTACACAACCGTACTACTGCACTATTCCTTGATGTGGGTTCTCCAGGGGGCTCACAGAACACCAATCTGGTGTGTGGAGCCACAAATCAAGTAATTGTATTGGTTAAATGCCTAAAAAATAGTCCAGCCCCAATATTTCCTAGAGTGGTGGATAACCTCGCTGAGTTCATTGGCAGTTCAATCCTATGCCTGTTTTCTCAGAAGTAAGTTCCGCGGTGTTCAATGGAACCTCCTCTCAGAAAAGAGCATATAAGATTACAGACTGAGGAGATGAAATGACATTTGACATGTCACTGACTTCATCTCCTCCAGCTCTGCTCAAGTAACTGGACCCACCAACAATCACGGACTAGTAGGGGAGCTATGCAAAACCTTTGAAAAATAACCCCATATGATCTGGTGTATTTTTAGACAGCTAGTGTGATAGGAGCGCTAAAGCACGTTTCAGATTCTTCAGTCCCTATTGAACAAACACAACATTGTGCAGCGTATAGCACACTATCTAATGTATCTTTACCGTAATTGCTAAGTAAACAGGAACAGGGGCAGGGCCAGGAAGCACTGAGAAGTGAATTGTAAGCAAGTCTAAGATAGTTTTGTGACAGGCATTAAAGAAACAATGCTGAAAAGCCAACTGGCTGCAGCCCAAGAGCAAATGTGGCAAGTTGGGAACCCAGCCAGGCCAGAAGCAGGTTTGCAGAGAAAAGGCTCCAGATATCTTAGGAAAGGCAAAGAGAGCCTTAAAGAGGGGAGGGCGAAAGCACAGAAGCAGTTACTTCAGAACAGTCACCTCAGCTTAGGCCCACCTCCACACCCACACCCCCCACAAGCCAAATGTAGCCCATCAGCATTGTAGGGAAGCTCACTGGAGATGTGGCAAAGCAGTTCTTCCTGTCTGTCTGGGCTTGTCAAATCAGGAAGCTGCCATGCATGCGACAGGCCTCATACAGGGCTGATGTACAGGCTGCATTTAGCTGGGTGAGTTTAAAGTTGTGCTAGTTCTGCTTGGGAAGCAAATTTGGTTGCACAGTCTAGATGGTCTGAGCTGGATGTGTGCCTGGTTTATCTCGAAAGCAGGGCTGAGGTAATTTGCTGCTCAGGCCCACAGCTTCGATTTCAAATTTGCAACACGCTGGTTACTTGATATGTTGACAGTGACTTGGTAGTGGTACTCGAGCCTAAATACTTTTGCTCCAATGTAACCATTGAAAATAGACTTGAGACTAAGAGTGCTGCTGGCCGGCTGCTTGTTTTCACCATTACCAGTATCACCCAGCAGAATGGGAGGAAGAGGTAGCATCTTCCGTTGGCTTTCATGCCCCCGGATTTAATTTTGTATAGGAAGCTGCTTTGTACTGAATCAGATCACTGGTCCACCTAGCTTAATATCTTCTAAGTGGCAGCAGCTCTCCAAGTTCAGACAGGGCTCCATGCCAGCCCTTTCTGAGCTCTACCACTGAGCTACAACTATTGGTCCCAGACAACAGTCATGCCTCCTGAAAACAGCTCAAAGCAACAGGCTTCTGGCATGACTTCTTGCCCAAAGGAGAAGTCTCTCTCTCCCTGCCTCCCCTGTGTATATGTGTGTTGGCTGATGTAAAGCTAGCAGCATCCAGCAGCTTTGTGTGAATCTCTCCCCTTTTTGAGTCTCTTGTGCCATGTTTACTACAACCTCCTAAGCCCAGGTTAGTTATTAGTAGTGCACCAGCATCTTCTAACTTCATGTATATAGTGTGAATAATTGTCTTGTGAATTGAGGCACTAAAACACTTCAGGTTGAACTGTGTGGCAAAGAGTTTTCCTCACTGTCAAGTCTGAAATAGCTGACAATGGAAAAGGACCAAGATCTTGAAGCTCTGCTGTGTTACTCTGCTAGTTACACTGGCATGGGTGTGATCTGAAAAGTTTATCAGTACTGACTTCTGCTGAGGGTAGGGGTGGTTACAAAGGAGAGAAGGCACAGGAAAGGACGTTGGCCTGTTCCATTTTTAGTAGCATACCTGCCTTGCTTGTGTGATTCTCCATGTGTTTCTCTTCTCTGTCTTTGAGGCCGACTATGAACAAAAATAAATAAATAAATGATAGGTTGCGTATGTTCACAATCTTCTAGAAAGTTACATTGATATCTTCCTAGTGCAAATCACATATTTCATCCTTGACACACTATATTGACACTCGAGATTAACTTTTCCTTCTTTCCTTTTTATGAATATAAATTTTATTATCATAAGCACTAAAGACAAAAATCCATTATTAAATTAATTTGTCTATAAATACAGAAATGTTATATAAATATTGGATACATACTGTACAAAGACATTCAACATTTTTCAATATAAGATAACCCACTGTTTTATTTTAATTTATAAAATAATCATAGTTCTAAAAAGAGATTACTTTAGCCAGCTGTATTGTAATGTGCAACTAGACCTCAAATAGATTTAAATCTATGTCTGCTTTGATAAACTATATGCATTTGTTGCCTCCTGCATCCTTACATTCCAATACAGTATGATATAAACAAGCCTCACATTTCAATGAATCATCTTGCTGTCGGCCTTCCCTAATCCTTATTATATTTGTAAGTCTGAGCATTTGAACAATATTTCAGAACTTGGTTAGCCAATTTTCTATTTCTGGAGGATCTTATTCTTGCCCCACTCCACATGCTTGACATATAGGGATTATCCACACCTTACATTTAATGCACATCCAACAGCACATAACTTCACCCAAAGAAACATAGAAACTTCAATTTGTGAAGGATTCTGGGAATTGTACTCCTGTGAGATGGGAACTATAGTTCCCAGGACTCTTTGGGGGAAAGTCATGTGCTTTAAAGTCAGGGTGACATAAGAAGGTGAAGGATAATTTATTCATCTTCCTGTAAAGCGACTTTCTTGATGTATCCAAACAATATTACTGTATTAGAGAATCTTGATGCAGTTTGTATTCCACAGTTTCGCTTATTTCAATTAATATTTGGTGCCAATATGATCTGCTCTGTGAAGATGACCAGAGAATATGGAAAATTTGATAGATTGACACCTCTAGCATAAGCTACTAACATGGGGTATGTTCTATTTAATCTTTTTTGAGGGGGAATCTCACTCCAAAAAAAGTTTTTAACTTGCAGTGTGAAACTTAGATGACTGGTCTGCAGAAGCGGGAGAGTGAAGTAGAGGCAGGAGGTTGTAAAATTACACAGAACCCCTGGGTAATGCTCATGGAACAAAGAATAAACATCTGCTGTATAGAGTCAAGTTCTCATAGCCTTTACTCAATCCTGTGGGGAAAGGAGAACAGGTGAAGCTATCGTTTTCTAATTCCCTCCACCCCAGTCACTGTTTTTAGAAGGCTACAGGAGCATTTTTTTCTGGCTAAAATGGATGGATTTTAATAAGGGTCTAAAATAAAGGGTCTTATTAAGAGCCCCCTGCCTTTCTCCCCATAATTTGAGCTCTGCAGAACATGAGACAATAACATTGTGAGTGAACTGATATTAACACTTTAGTAGCAACAACAACAGCAGTGCTCAAAATAATTGTTCAGACATTTTAAGCCACATTTTAAAACAATTTGATTATCTTCCAGGTAGACTAGAACACCAAGTGGCTCAGGTTTTTCTCAGGTTAATCTCCATGGTTCAGGTGCGGACTAACAATGTCATAAGACCCTGCCCAATAGGAGGTGTTCTCTGTTTCCACACAAGCCAAATGCATTTCAGAATGTGTCACAAAATGCAAGACAGCTTTTAACTGTTCCACTGAAAGGCACTTTCAAAACACCAAAAGAACAATGTACCAACAATATGAAGATGACGGTGTGGGTGCACTGACCAAAAAAATGTGTCTGCAGAAGACAATGAATGCACTTTATGGCCGTGTGTGTCTACACACTCAGAGTTGTTGAAAGTGGCGTACTCAGAGTGGTGCAACATCCCATCCAGGCTCAGAATACATTACCCTGACAACGCTAAACCAACCTATTTGTGCCACAGTGGCTGAGGTAGGCTCTGTCGAGCCAGGTGCTGCCATCAAAATCTCGTGAATTCAAGGGACTCCCTGGAGTCAAAGATGCACAGTGCATTCTGGGGAAATATATGACCCAGAGAGAGACTTCAGGTCACTTGATGTACTCTGACAGTTGCCGACTTCTTTCAGGTTGGGCCCCTGCTAAAAGAGGATCTTCTAAATTAGCACACTTGTGAGGGGCAAAGCAAGCAAAGTAAGCTTTTAAACATGTAAAATCCAGGCTTAATGAATGAAAAATGATGCATCACGTTAGCAGACTCATTTGATAATCTCTCCTCTTGTCTCTGTCAATTCAGGTGCACTTTGCATTGTCTTATGTAAGCACACATACACACTAACAAAGGAAATTCATTATCAAAATAGCTTTTGGTAACAACAGAAAGCAACTAAAAGCATTGGAAAATGTAGGAGAAGGCTAGTCTATATTCTTTTCTTAGGAAATTTGATGAGCTAATGCGTGAAATTTGGCTAGCAAAATGGACTCAGAAAGCAGACAGGTGTTGGGACATGAACTTTTAACATCCATCCCCCCCCCCTTAGAATTAACTGTGCAGAATGTTATAATAACCACAAAACAAGATTTTTTTAAATGTTAAAGTCACTTTGTTATGGAAACTAACGAAGCATTATTATCCCTCATCAAGAAACACATACTGAAACATGCTTACAACATGCTATTTCTGCAACTTATGAGAATTGTTTTACTATTTCTGCTTAAAGTTCTGTGACATGTTTTTATATCATCTCATTTTTGTAAACCATCCCATGACTATTTTTGGTGGAGGGTGATGTAGAAATCTCTTAATAAAAAATTCACACATACACACAAACTATGTCTGCACACATCTCTCTACGCTGTAGAGCCTATAGCAGTGGTGGCCAAATTTGGCCCTTCAGCTGTTTTTGAACTACAACTCCCATCATCCCTAGCTAACAGGATCAGTGGTCAAGGTTGATGGGAATTGTAGTCCCAAAACAGCTAGAGGGCCAAGTTTGGCCGCCACTGGCCTATAGGATTGTAAGGCTCTGAAAGCCAAGCATCATTCAATGCCAATTCCTTTACTGAACCAGGCTCTTCATTGCCAAACATTTGTAACTGTTCAACCCATCTAATCCAGATTAATAGTGTACCATAAAAAGAAAGCAAAAAGGTTCAAAGTGTAATGTGCCAACCAATGCTTTGGA